CCGGACCTCAATATTATCGGCGGCTCAAACCGCCATTGTTAAGCCGGATATCCGAGAATTATGCACATATTAATTTATCCAATTGTCAAATTGATTAGGAATTTTTTGTAATTAATTTATATGATACTTAGTTTGTATTCAAACCATCCAGGGTTAGTCATTTTATAAGTTTAGGGATATTGAGTCTTCTAACATTCCCTATTCAATCCAGGAAATCCAATTCGTGATATTGATTATCACATTCCATAAAATCAAATAATATAATCATCATGATAATTAATGTGTCATTATTTAACTAAGAATTTCATAATACTCACACATAACATTTTAAAAGAATGGGACACATCCAAATGCTTAGTTTGACATTGCACCTAAAAAATCAAATTTATTCAAGCATTTACTCTTATATAAAGGAATTACATTTATCTTAATTATCTATTCCCCCACAGGAAGATGCGCTATTACCTACGGATGGAATCTGTCAGTAACAATTAAAATCCGTCGGAAATACGAGCTTTCCGGCGCATTTCCTACGCAAATTGTTCCGTCAGTAATTCACGCGTCAGAAAATCAACACCGGCGAAATTTTTTTTTTTTTCGGTGGAAATACGAGCTGACGCCTTTTTTGTTGTTGTATTACGGCGTAAGATCTGTCGGTATTTCTGGCGGATAATCCGCCACCTAAAAAATCCCATCCTTTTTCCGACATACATTATTGTCGCAATATCCGCCGGAAGTCACAGCGCAAATGTTCGACGGAAATGTCGTCGTATTTTATTGTCGTCAGTGTTTATGGCACAAAATCCATCGAAAATTGTAGCATAAACAAAAAAATAATAATATTCCTCCTTTTGAAATCGATTTCTACAATTAAACCTGCATAGAAAAAAAATACAACACTATATACATTCATACATCCACTTCTAATCAAGAACATCACCAATTACATTATTTATTTTGAAAAAATCCCACCTATATTTAGTCAAGCCAAATTTGGCCAGACATTACCATACACACTAAATTCAAATGAACACTTCTAATATTTGGGCATGCCTAAATATTTTTAAGCATCCATCAAAACAGGCATAATATATACTGGACAAATCTATTGAAATTTTAAATAGTTTAAAGCTAACTATACTTTAACTCAAGTTTAAGTAGGCCAAATTCACTAAAGAATCTCACCTTAGTCTAAGTCTATTATGTTTATTTAAATAATTTTCATCTATTTTTTTGGGCTAAATTCATTTATACACTCATTTCTATGGTGAGCTAAATCCATTTGAGTAAAATTCATTTCTTTTGATGGGACAACTTAATTACGAGTTCTTTTGCTTGAGCAAATCGCATTTGCTTATGCATAGTTTATATCCTTGCACTATATGTATAATAACTTAGAATCGCTAGAGTCGAACTGAACAGGGTCAGCTAAACCGATTTACATCGTTTGATTTCCTATTTAGGAAATCCCGTTCCTTTAAGATGGGGATCAGACTTAGGGCACCATAGTGAGCACAAGAAAGTGGGGGAGCGGTGGCGAGAAAGGGAGCTCAGATCAAAGGTCAGACGTAGTGCATGTGAGCAGGGACCGAGGAGGTGATGTTTGGCATTAACCTCCTATCGCCTGTGACACATAGCAAGGAAGACGAGTGACCATGGTTGTGCTCAACGACATCACAATTTAGTGGATATGACTACTCAAGCCGTAGAGGAGGGGATTTGAATGGAAGAAGGACAAACTCTGATGATGATGCCTCAATTTTGCCACATTGCTTCGGATTTCTTGTTTCCTTCTTAAAGGGGAAAGAAGTACAAATATCTCATTCTTTTCTCCCTTTTCATGCTACATCCCCTTCATCAATTTGATTTAGCAAAATCCTAACACCAAATTTGTCCTAAGCATTTATAATTCTTCTATGTGGATTATGATTGTCATTCCTATTAATAAATGCAATTACTTTTTAAGGCTTAGAGTTTAATACATGTGCAATTTAATTTTATGTTAAGGTGCTTTATTTAAAAGATTAAATTGAGAGATTTAGAGCTTTTGAATCCATGTTTTCTTTGTTGTTATATTCATATAAACCATTTAGATTTAATATTAACTTATCATATGTAACAATCAAATCTATAACCTAGATGACTTGGCATATAGTAGTAATGATACTTGCATATTACTTATATATTGCAATAGCAATAATTTATATTAGTGAAATCAAATTTTTATGATTTAGGAGAAGTCATTTTATGTATTGAGGAATTGGTTACATGTATATGTATATTTTTGAGTTAATATGTAATCAAATCTTTATGATGATTGATTCTTAAAGAGTTGCTAAATATTTTATTTGGGTCATGGTGAAAGACATTTATATAAAAAATATTAAATAAAGCATTTAAGTTTGAGATCATTATGAAGAATAAGTTAGGTACATGGCATAATCCTTTATTTCAAAAAGATGTTTAAGTGGTTGTTGCATTATTTAATATTTTGATATGTGATATTTTGGATATATAATTGATGCAGACTTTGTGGATTTAGGATTCGTTGAATATCGCGTGCTGCAATGGGAGGAGCTTCATCATGATTGAAATTCTCCACTACTTATTGTCTCTAATTGTTAGGTGACTCCTTACAAGTAAGGGATAAATGTACCCTACTTCGTGAGGGGCACACCCCTTGCTACTTGTTTGTTGTTTTATTTATTGATAATAAATGTAGTATGTGCTTCTCCATTCACATTGTTTCGAGAGACCATTTTGACATGATATGATAGCTAACTCTGTCATGTTACTTGTTTCATAAATGCCTAGATAATTCACATACTTTATTCCAACACCTTTGAATAATCATCTCCCCTACAAATATGAATTTTGTAATGTATATAATCGAGTTTATTTATGTGATAACCCTTGTTAAACACTATTATTGAAATACAATATGTATATAATACAAGTTTGTGTGTTTGATGCTTTTAAATATCAATATTTAATCATATTTGATATTGGCTAGTCATACTGATGGGTCCTCAGAGTGACAACTCTATAGAAAATCATTTGATTTTCCTTAGTATTGGTGCTTATCTTTCCCGACAGAGTATTATAGTAAACCGGCTATAAATGTTTATAAATATATATCTATCGCTATACAAAGATCAATAATCTGATGAGTCATTGATGGATGTATAAATATCATATTCATGTAAGTGAATGTATTTATATTTTTATGAAATGACCATTAGTTGTCACAAGTGATTATTTATGAATTATACTATATAAGAAGCTTTGAAAAATGAAATGCATCCAAAATCTCGGATCATACATTGCTTGAAGCTATTATAGTATAGTGTTTATTTTTCACTTATATCCATTTATTTTCTCATATTTTATGTCATGCATTATCATTTCTATTTTACTTGCTAGGATTTTACCTACTGAGTTTTTTCTTGCAAACTCGTGCTTATTACTTCATAATTTCAAGATGCTAGCTGTGCTGCTTTTGGATGAACATTTAGATTCATGCATCAAACTCATATTTGATAAGTATTTAAGGTTAGAGTTATCTAATTAATTTAATTGCAAAAGTGGAATTTCATTATTTTTTGGTGTTGATTTAGTATATGTTTGAGTCTAGATGCTTTGATGAATTATTGGTGGACTAATGAGTGTACGTAATATTATATTTTATATGTTAAATTGCAAGTGAACCCATTTTATTTTAGTTGTGTTTTTGCAAGAAATGTGCAAAAATTTTAAGTATGGTACAACGTCACGACGTTGCACACTACATTGCCACGACGCTATCATTAACATCGCCGGAGCACCCAATATAGACATGGTGGTGCCAAGTATCTGTTTAATAGTGACGCAGCGTCAGAGGAGTCAGCACTGCGGAGCCTAGTCTATATCTGCACGATGTCGCGACACTAATTTATAACACCACCACGCTAAGGGGAGTGCCACGTGGATGCTGCAGAGCTTAACTGTTAGAAACGTCGAAGCACTACAGTTGTAACTGTTCATAACACAATATGTTAGTGAAGCAACATGTCTATTCACTATAGAGCGGGTCCACGTTAGCAAGCGCCGCAGCAAGAGGAAATCTTTCAACGTCGTAATATTAATTCATTTTATGGGCACCGCGACACAAGTGTCTCGAGCGTCGCAGCGCCAGAATTTATTTTCTATGTTTTTCTATAAATAGTCCATTTGTAATGTTAGTAAGAGAGTTTTGTCACTTAGTTATTTTCAGTCTTCACATTGCTTCTCTGCAATTTCCTTACAAGTGCAAACTAAGAGAATTCAGGGAGCACTAGATACACTTCATAAGGGTGTTTGGTCAATATTTGTGGAAGTAATTCTATAAGTTCAAGAGGAGTGTAGATGAAATCATTGAACCAATCCAGTGATATCTTTTATTTTGTGCAATTAATAAAAATGAGTTTGTTTCACTTGTTTTTCATGTGTGGCTAAATTCTCTAGTTTTGGATTGATGTTGTAAATGAAATGTGGAGTATTAATGAATCCTCTTCATCACTTTAATGATATTTTCAATATATTAGGTTTTTATTTAATACACATAATGGTCATATATATAGTTGATATCAGGTGTAACGTGGAGCCTAGGAATAAAAAAGCAGACACAACCGGATATTGGATTGATATGATACAAACATAGGCATAGTGCTTAATATATATTAAATTTATAGAGATGAATTGTAATGAACGAGATTTTAACAATAATAAGGAATGTGCCCTCTTTCCCCCTTCCCTCCATCCATGACGTCAAAAACAACATCACTTTTTTATCCAAGTATGTGGTGTCGGCTTTATGAATCATTTTTCTCTATTTTATCATATTATAACTCAAATTATTATTTAAATTATTTAAATGTATACCTATGACTGCATCAGTTATTGGACTAATCCGATGGTACACGTTTCCCACATTTTTATTCGATCGGGTCTTCGCTTAGTCCCGCCAGAAGACCAAGCCTGAGAGCGATTACAATGCGCAGCTTAACCACTCTGTTCATCATTTACGAGCGAGATAGGAATTTAACATCTTCTCCGGGTTGGTTCGAACGGACGTCTACCGGGTATAAAAGTCTGGAAGAACACGTTTTGCAGCAATCAGTTTTCCCTTCTTCGTTTTCTCCAAGGAATCGTATTTGAATTCTCCGCCTCCATTCTCGTTTCGATTTTCAATCATCTTGAAGCCCTAGATCCAAAATTCCAGGTCGGGGGAAGAAATTACCCTGGCAACGCCTTTGTTAGAATACATGTCGGATCAGTCCATCATGGAGGACAGCCACCGTTACGTGAAAGTGCGGTCGGAACCGGCGACGTCGTCGTCACAGTTGCTACAGCAGGAGTTTGTACCGGACCCTGAATGGATTTTTGACGAATTGCCCAAGGCTACCATCGTGTCGGTCTCACGGCCGGACGCCAGCGACATCACACCCATGCTTCTTTCCTACACCTTCGAGTTCCAGTACAAGCAGGTACGTCCCCGCTCATCAACCTAGCCTTTTGTACTTTTGATTTTAATATCTACGAGTTAGACTGTTTCGTACCGTGTCAAAATTTAGCAAAACGATGATTTTTATTTCCACAAAAAATTGATCTAGAGTTAGTTTCTTTCTTCTGGGTAAGGCTGTAATTGACCACGTTGGATCAAATTATGATGGTTTGATGAATTGCAGATGAAATGCGCCATTTTGCTATTTTTTTATTGAATTCAGCTTCTATCGGGAAGGTTTATTGCTCTTAGCAGTTCGATTGGAGCGTTGATGGGTGTTCATAAGTTGAATTTAGTGGTTATTTAGTGCTGAAATTGGTAGATTTTGTGCTTTTGCTGGCTTATGCTAGTTGTGTTATGTGGGGAGCTAAAAGATCACGCCATACATTTATTTCATGTTGTCCAACCTTGGTTCAAGGAGAAGTTTTCGTAATGGGTTGGCTCTTTTGTCAGGTCTGCATATTTTGAAATGTTTGCGGTGTTTTTTATGCTATTCTTGTTTAAAAATTATTGTCTTTTTCCGATGTGCTGGTGCGTTAAGAGCGCGCATTTTATTATTTTTTTGCTGAAACCTTTGACTCCTCTGTACATCAACCCCTACTTGAGATCCTGCAAGTGTAAAAAACCATTTAAAATCATTTTGATTAATTTGGTGGAATGCATATTCTCCTTGTTCTACCCGTCAGAAGCAATTATGGCTGTTCATGCTAGACCTTGGCCTTCTACTGCTAGTTTCTGAAATTAATAAAACTAACAGCTTTCCTTGGTTAAATTGATTCTTTTCTATCTTCTTTTCCGTCAAATTTTGTCAATATTTAACGTGATAATGTTTTCCAATTACTATTTTTATTTCTATTGCGTTGTTTCTTGTTGATTTTAACTATTTCTTCATAACAAGAAGTTAGGCTGTAGTGCTGTGTGCTTTTTAATATGAATGTCAATATTGTAGATTATTATATGTTTACTTTTCACTCATAGTAATTTGTATGTCTATATTGCTGCAGTTTAAATGGGTTCTACTGAAGAAAGCATCACAAGTCGTTTATCTACATTTTGCATTGAAAAAGCGTGCATTTATTGAAGAATTCCATGAGAGACAAGAGCAGGTATGCGTTTCTTATCATAAAGTGTTTCCTTGAATATCATACATCTCCTTTTTGCGTGCTTGGTTTGGTAGAGCTTTGGACATTTAATGGTTTACAATTTGTTAATAAAAGAGTAAACCTAACTTTATGCAACAAAAATATTAGCACAAAAGTAAGTACAATGAACAACAAAATAACTACAAAAAGATCAAATTCCACAAAAATGACATGTATGATATTCAATTAAGGAAGCTAATGAATATTTAGTTTAAAGAAAGTAACATGTCAAACTTGAAACTGTGACCTCTATTGTGGGAAATAGGGAGCATAGTGCTTTTTGGTGTGCATGCATATATGTTTGTTTATATATATATTGATATTTTAGATAAACTATACTTTAGTTTATTTATGATTAAAGAGTATTTGAAGTATTAAGTGTACTGCTTTCATTGCAAAATAGTTGAAAAATAAAAAGAATGCAAGTATAATATGATAGAAAAAAATAAAATTATTAAAAATTAGGAGAAATACCAACAACAACAACAACAACATCAAGCCTTTATCCCACTACGTGGGGTCGGCTACATGAATCCTTTTTCTCCATTGTGTCCTATTAAAAGTCAAATTCTCGTTTAAATCTAATAAAGAAAGGTCAATCCTAATATTTTTTAACCAAGTCTTTTTAGGTCTATCCCTACCTTTCTTAACATAAGTCAAATCTAATACCTCTACTCTCCTAACCGGGTTATCGGAAGGCCGCCGTTTTATGTGACCAAACCATCTAAGGCGACTCTCTCTAATCTTATCTTCTACTGGAGCTACTCCAACCTTTTCACGAATATGCTCATTTCGTATCCTATCTCTAAGGGTAAAGCCACTCATCCACCTGAGCATCCTCATCTCTGCCACACTTAACTTAGTATTATGCTTCTCTTTTAATGGCCAACATTCGGCACCATAAAGCATTGTAGGCCTCACTACCATCTTATTGAATTTTCCCTTAAGTTTGAGGGGTACATTTCTATCACATAATAAGCCCGATGCATTCCTCCACTTCAACCATCCAACTTGAATTCTGCTGATAATATCCCCATCTATTTCACCATAACTCTGAACAATAGATTTAAGATATCTAAAACGTCTACTCTTATTAATGATTTGATCGCCCAAAGTCACAATCCCTTCACTAGGTCTATTACTACTAAAATTACACTCAATATATTCCGTTTTAGATCTACTCAAGCGAAAACCTTTAGACTCTAAGGTTGACCTCCATAATTCAAGTTTACCTTCAACTCCCTCTCTAGTCTTATCAACAAGAAGAATATCATCAGCAAAAAGCATACACCAAGGTACATCATCTTACAAATGTCTAGTGAAAACATCCATGACTAAAGCAAAAAGATATGGGCTTAAGGCTGATCCTTGATGTAACCCAACCGAAATAGGGAAATACTTGGTCAATCCACCTTGTGTTTGAACACAAGTAATAGCTCCTGCATACATATCTTTAATGATTTGAATATAAGTATTATTAACCCCTTTCTTATATAGAACTCTCCATAGCACTTCTCTTGGAACTTTATCATATGCTTTTTCTAAATCAATAAATATCATATGTAGATCCTCCTTATTTCCTCTATATTTTTCCATCAAACCTCTGAATAAATGTATGGCTTCCATAGTCGACCTACCCGGCATGAATCCAAATTGATTTTGAGAAACATTAGTATCACACCACAACCTAATCTTCATCTTTAATACACTTCACTTGAACTAAATCCTTACTACTCCTATCTCTTTGTTTGGCTAACTTATACATATATCTTTCTCCCTCTTTAGTATCTAATCTATTATATAAATCACTAAAAGCTAATGTCTTTGCATCGCATATTGCTTTCTTAGCATCCTTACGAGCCACTTTATATATTTCCCAATTATCAGAATTTTTAAAATTAAACCAATTTTTATAACAAAGCTTCTTATTTTTAATCTTTTCTTGCACATTTGGATTCCACCACCAACTACTTTTACTATTAGGAGCTTTTCCCTTTGATACTCCAAGGACATCTTTTGCAATATTCTTAATATCAGTAGCCACTTTTTCCCACATAATATTAGCATCCTCATGCACAGACAAAATCTTAAGATCTAAAATCTTATTTCCAAAAATATTTTTGTTAATATTCTTTAAATGCCCCCATCTAATCCTAGAAAATTGTTTTACTTTATTTTTTATTTTATGCCCCTTTATCTTAAAGTCCAAAACTAATAATCGATGTTGGGTACATAAATTTTCACTCGGAATAACTTTACAATCTTTGCAATCTAAACGATTTAGTTTTCTAATAAGAAAATAGTCAATCTGTGTTGTACTATATCCATTTTTATAAGTGATGAGATGCTCATTTCTTTTCTTAAATAAGGTATTAGCAATTGAAAAATCATAAGCTAAACAAAAATTTAATATGGTCTTACCACCTTCATTCGTCGTTCCAAATCCATGACCACCATGAATACTTTTAAAATCATCTACCTCTCTACCAACATGTCCATTTAAATCTCCTCCAATAAAAACTCTTTCTTCAAGAGGTATCTTTTGTATTAATTCTTCTAAGTCATTCCAAAAATTTAATTTAGAACTCATATCCAAACCTACATGAGGAAAATAAGCACTTATAATATTAACAATCTTATCATCAACAACAATCTTTAAAGCTATAATTCTATCTCCAATCCTATTAATTTTTATAATATTATCCTTTAAACTCTTATCTATAATAACACCTACACCATTTTTAGTACGACTCCTACCCGAATACCAAAGTTTAAATCCTAAACTATCAATTTCCTTAGCCTTCTCGCCAACCCATTTAGTTTCCTGAATGCACAAAATATTTAACTTCCTATGAATCATAATATCTATTAATTCCATTAATTTTTCTGTAAGGGAACCTATATTCCAAGTTCCTATCCTAATTTTAGTTTCATGGACTAGCTTCTTTGTCCACATCCGTCCTTGATGTGGGAACCCTTGCCTATTTAACACTGCACCCGGGCACCGTTGCAGCGACCCTTGCACACTTGTCACTGTATTCAGACCATACAGCGCGTCGCTTCCAGGGGACGCCCAAAAATTAGGAGAAATACCATTACTAAAAAAATTTAATTCAGGAAAAAAAAAGTATTTGGAGAAGTTTGTATGCTCCTATGGGTATATATAGAGATTTATGTAATATCCCTAACTTGCTTCTATAACTTGGAGTTTTGGAAGCTGAAGACAAAGAGAATGAAGAAAAATCACTCCGATCGCTTGCTGTTGTGGAAGTTGAAGATGGAAATGTTGAGGAAGATGAAGAAGAGCACAAGAGATAGAGAGTCAGCTTTATCGGTTGGAGTCGATGAAGACATGCATGAAGAACAGATGAAGGAGACGACGAGGTTGTGTCGGTTTTGTTGTTTTAGAATTTAATTGATTGTCCGGGGGAGACGAGAGGGTCATTTCCGTTGCTTGGGATGACGGGAAGACATAGGGACCAAAGATTTTGGTCGATTATGATGCTTAAAGTCACGAGAGAAGGGGATTGTTTCGTCTAGCCTCGTCTATTTAAAATTGAGAGGGAAATTGGGGGAGGATTTGTGAGAGAGCAGGGTGCAAAGTAGGAGGTGAGAGGAGCGATGAGCTCGTGCAACGACTACATATCGATTGAAAATTATAAGACTAAATAGAAGGTTAGTATTTTTAGAAAAATTTAAATTATATTAGAGTAAATTGTTGTCTTATTTAGAGAATTTAAGGCTTAATTTTTTAGAAAACTATATAAAGTTGATTATTTAGATTATATAGTTTTAAATTTAGATTTTTTGAGAATGACTAATAAAATTATATTTAAAAATAGAGATAGAGGAATTGTTTAGATTTTCAATTTGAAACTCTAATATGATAATAATTTTATTTAAAAACCTAAGATAATAATAGTCTAAATAAATTAATACTTAGAATTTTGAAGATGCCACCAAGAAAATTTAATTTTAAGCTTATATTTAGAAATAAAATTTTAAATAATGAATAATGATTAGATTTCAAAGTTAATTATTAAAAATAAATGATGGTGTATATATATATGTATACGCAAATTTTATTATGAGATTTTATAATTAGTAAATCTAATTGTTTCAAATTATCTCAAGACTGGTTATATAGTGTTGATCTAACCTGTCCAGTTTAAATTGAACTCGAATTGAGCCCAATTAACTTTGACGATGTTCAATTACACTATCATGCTCGAAATCAAATTTGATTTGAGTCAAACTAGGTTGGATTTGGGTTGAATTATAGGGCCAAGTCAATGCTACATCAATGGGCATCCACCTAAGGGGATTCCTATAGGAGTGATATCTATACTAGGCTATGAAAATCTAGGCACTAAGGAGCAGCTCGGGTAAATCGACCTCATACAAAAATGAGCTCAACAAACGCCACCTCCACTACATATCTTAACTATTGTTGGAAATGCAACAATGGCACCCCATGTTAATCATGTTCACTTTGAATTTAAGATTGATGGTGATTCAGGTTCTGATTGAAGCTTTCTATGGTTAGTGGTTTTAGGTTGTCTTTTCCAAAGGAGTCGGTAATTCGTAAACAAGTTTTTCTTCACTGCCAGATGTTTACTGTACATTGAGCTAGAAGCAATGGCTCATTGGATGACTTTGGTATTTTAGACTTGGCAGAAGCTAGTTTGATCTGATTTAGGACCTGCTCCTCATCAAATGGATGGATATTTCTTTTTCATTTTCCATGTTTTTGTATTCCAATGTACTTTGATTTCTTACTTTCTTGATGGCAGTACTTTGTAACTCCTTTTTCATGTAATATTTTCACTGATTAGTGCTATAATTGTATTGTTAATATATATAGTCACACACACACACACATAGATGCAAAAAACAAAAAAAAACACAAATATAGACACATAATTTAATCTGGTCAATTGTTTTTGCATGAAAGGTGAAAGAATGGCTTCAAAATGTTGGGCTAGGGGAAACTTCAGCTGTTGTGCAAGATGATGATGATGATGATGCGGTTCATTTACAGCACGAGGAAAACATTTCAGCTAAAAATAGGTGACTTCTGATGAAATCTCCTTCCCTTTTGACTTGTGCGTGAAAATTAGAAAATAGCATGCTAAATTTGTTCTTAATAATGAACTAGAAAGTGTCTCACCAACTTGATGCGCTATATTGGGATTGATAATGAATTCAAATCATTTTTAGCTTTTTAGCGGTCAATGCCTACCTTTTGATGAACATGCTTCTGCATGGAAGATGAACTAAGTTTTTTGAAATAGTCTTTTGCTTCAGATTAATTGACAAATGGAAACCTCCACTTTTTAGCACTCGTTTGTTCTCTAGGTGACTTCATCTTAAGCTCTGATACATATGATCATATTAATAGCACAAGTACCAAATTCACCTGTTTTCATACGCCGATTTCAACTCTACTCAAGTCTAATTCATAAAAAAATGCCATTCTCCCTATTAATTTTCTGGTATGCCTTTTTCATGTCCATTTAAGCTGAAGCAAGTCTTCTTAGAAAAACGGGTTTACCAACTAAATCTGCAATTTCTAAAATCTTTTCCCAAAGCAACTAAAAAATGTTTTAAAATAAAAGCTTTCATGAAATATGCTATTTTGAACAGGATGAGTGGCACTGAACGCCATGTGGTTTGTTAGAAATATTAAATAACAGTAAGATTCTTGATCATGTTGCAGAAATGTCCCTTCTCGGGCTGCTTTGCCAATTATTCGACCAGCACTTGGAAGACAACAGTCTATTTCGGACAGGGCCAAGGTTGCCATGCAAGGCTATCTGAATCACTTTCTTGGAAACTTGGACATCGTAAACTCTCCAGAGGTACACAGTTACTCTTACTACATTATGGCCTTCTCTCGAGTTACACAAAATATTTGTTTTTAAAATTCTATGAATGGATTTGAGATTCACAAAGCAGTTTTCTTATTTATAGAGATTGTTTTTTTGTGCTCGACGGTAATGAGAAAGGAGATATTTTGTTTCATTCTGATAATATAAATTGAAAGAATACACCATGTGTATTTGTTAGAGAGATAGGTGGGTACTGTCTTGATAATATATGATTTTTATAGCATCTGAACGGCCTTTTAAAAGTCTTGTTTTTTATTCTTTCCATTTTACATCTTGGTCTAGAGATCCAATTATTTTAGGCTGAGGTTTCTATCCATGATTTGCTTTGGATATACTAATATTTAAGAAAATTCTGCCAGTTCACTTCATTAATTTTCTTCATGTCATGCTTTACCTGAAAAGCCCCCACTTGTAGCTATTGCGGTGAAACTTATTTTTTCCTAGGATCATTAGAAAAAGTTTTTAGCCTCTTCTCCACCACCCAAAAAAAAAAAAAAAAAAAAACCAAATCCAAGGAATCTTAAATATTCATATTTCATCTATGCGATTGATTCATAAAGCAAACCCTAAATAGTTGAGCCTAATGATGATGATGATGAAAATATATTCATAAAATCCACTTAACACCTCATGCAACACTCAACATGAATAAATATTTGTCCAATAATTGGGGCAAGGCTAATAATGTAAAACTTCTAGCCGATTTGGGTATTGCTGCTTAAGATATGATAAATTAACCCAACTTCCTTCATCTAGTCTACAACAACAAAGTTAAGAGGAATTACCTTTTTCAGCAAGTTTGAGAAAACATTGAGGACAGGACCAAAGGAGTAATCTGATAGGAAATACTTGATTTCAAGTATTCCCTAATCACTTTAGCAACAAAACTCAAGGCGAGCTGCTGTCCACAGCAGGAAATCAGCCAAAACAGTAGAAAAAAAGAGGAAAACTGCAGGAGATTAGGAGAAAACACCGGTATTTTACTAGTAGACGATGGAAATAGCAAATATACAATTTGTTCTTCGATTCGAGAGGAAGAACGTACTCTCCAAAGTCTCCGGCGAAGCCAAGAGCCCAAAACAAAACCTAGATCTCAAAGAGAAAACTCAAATTCAAGATGAGGAGCTAATTCCCCCCAAACTCCTAATTATACAAAATTAATCATAAAGGACAATCATAAACTTCCTAAAACAGCCTTTCACGTTCAAAATTTCCCTCCTAAACTCCCCCTCTCACGCCTACGTGGATTCACGGCTCACGGCAGAGCCGTTTCCGCCCAGGCGGGCTCTCTCGCGTCCGTCTCGCGTAGACGCGGACCGGTCCCTGCTGGACCGGTCCAACCGGCCCATCCTGGGCCGGTCTAACATAATCCTAAAGTTCATTTAGCGCATGAGGCTGAGTTAAGGGAATTTCATCAACAAGTCCATGAAAACATAAAGGGTTAGGTAGTGAACCTTTTCCATTGAGTTGATAGAGGCTCAAGGTTTAGGCCACGATCACACATTCTTCACCAAGCCCACCAAATAAGCATAAGAAATTAAGCATATGTCATTTTTTTTTTAAATTTTATTAAGCATATGTCATTTCACCAAATTCTTTGGTGAAACTAGGTCTAATCAATCCTTCATGAATTTTGATAAAGCATAATGCAAAGTATCAAAGGAGTAATCCAAAATTTGATTTAGAGCACATGGCCAAATTAAGGAGATTTTGTTGTCAATAAAGTCTATAAAACATGAAGCAGCGGACATACAACCCTTCATCATGACTTGATATAAGCTAAGAGTTAGGTCATGGGACCATAGTCTTTGCCAAGTTTTCCTAAGCAGTCAAACATAAGATACAATGCATGATCATTTTACCCAAGTTTCTGATAAAGTCAAATCTTATTTATCCCTCGCAAAATCTATCAAAGAACAAAGCACAAAGCACAAGATATAAAATTTTTTGCATCTAGTTCTTGAAAGCTGTCACTGAAGTGGATTCTGTCATCAAGTCCATCAATGCTTAAAGCACCACACCAGTTACAACCTTTTATGGCTTAACATGCTTTCACTACTGAGCTCAATAATTGCAAATATGGTTCCTAACCGTAGGTTCAGTCTCTCCTCCGCTCAGAGGCGGTTACTGGACTTGATGAATTCCCAAGTTAAAGAAGCGATGCCAAACATCTGGCTTGACCACCCTTTGTCTTTCATTCCCTTTTTTGTCTCTTTTTTAAGTTTAGACACACCAAGGGAGAAAGCAATTTGGTATTCATTTCAATTGTTAATTTGAGTTACCTCAATATAAAGGGAATTGTATTTTTGATACTGCTTCCTGTTTGATAGTATGCTTTAATCCATCAAAGATCTTTGCTTGTGCTTATTTTTGTTTATCTTGGATGTTAGGCTTCCATTTGTTGTGGTGCTTATAGATTCATATTTTAATATGAATCTACAGGTTTGCAAGTTTTTAGAGGTATCCAGGCTATCCTTTTTGCCAGAGTATGGACCTAAACTAAAAGAGGACTATGTTTCAGTCAAACATTTGGCAAAGATTCCAAAACGTGGGGATGATAACAGGTGTTGTGCATGCAAATGGTTTAGTTGTTGCAATGACAACTGGCAAAAGGTATTATATATGTAAGCTGTTTCATATATTTCAATTTTAGAAGTATGTAGATGAAATTTTTATTTCTTCTTGAGACATTAAGTTTCCAAGTATGTTTAAGTTTTACTCAAGCCTTACTAGAACAAAATATACATTGCCGGCAGAAGTATAATTGAATGCTGTTGACCCTTAAGAGGAGAATGCAAAGTAAGCTTTGAATCATGTCAAAGTTGCTATTATATTTGATAATGTTAGTATTCGGTCAAATCTTGGCTTTTCCACACGTAGTTATTTAACTTTCCTTGTATTATTTGTGAGGCTAGGTTTTAAGCCTGTTACATTAGCCATCCGCATGTGTACGCCCTTATTTATCTGTTTTCCCTTTTTCAGTTGAAAAAATGGGAGCAATTTTTATAAGATCTAATCATTAGATGCTACTTAACCAATCATTTTCTAATGCTTGTTCAGTTAAGTGTACTTTAACTACCTCAGGACGAACTGAAACCAGCCTTCTATTTTTTGGTTTGATTTTTTTTTTTTTGAAGTTCTAGTTTTAGGAGTATGAGCAGACCAGGAGCTAACCTAATTTTTTCATTTTCACAATTCAAGCTTCGGAACTGAAATGAATTTGTTCTAGAGCCAAATCTGAAGCTAAACGAGAAAATTGGAGTTCTTTTCTAGTTTGTGCTTGGATCAATCATGTTGAAATAGGTGTGTTAGTAAGGGGCATAAGAACAATGAGTAGTTGCCATGTTGCGTTGCTCTTAGCCTTCTAAAGAGATGGCTAGGGTGCAACTCCCATAATAAAAAACAAGTTAGGCTTAAAATCATTCCATTATTTCAGATCATACCTAGCATATAATAAAATAATAATCTCTGTACATTTGTATGCGTGTTTATTTACTTAGTTATATTCCTTGTACATTAACAGATATGGGATATACTTGTTGGGTTACTTGACACTTGCAACTGAGAACCAACCCAAGTAAACAATAAACCAAAGAAAAACAGTCAGTTTGTTCTTCTGTTCCAAATAACACGCATATTTTAATTATTTGCTATTTTCTTGAACTCTTTCAAGTTTGTTATGTTCATGTTCACGTGGTGTATGGTTTAGTAGATTCATTGCCTTTGTTTGAAATTGTTCTCTTAGACTATAAGGTGCATGTCTACTTTTTTGACCATAGGTACTTGTCTTATGGCACATTCCAAAAGTATAGTTCTTTTAATAAATTTTGTTTTGTGAAAGGATCAAAATAGCCCCTGACTATTTGCGGGGGGCCTATTCTAGTCCATGGTCTGATTTAATCTCTAGCCCCTTAAATAGGAGACAAAATAGTCTTACTGTCGAAAGTAGCAAAATTTGATGATTAAAGTTAATAGATGGTGTTAAAAATAAGGATATTTTGGAAATATACTTGATCTTGAAATTTTTATAGAATTTAGTTTCCTACTTACATTGTTTTCTTGTGTGAAATAGCTAACTTCGTGTACAGTAGAAATATATTAAGATCACACAAGTTGAGGAATAAGATTATTTTTTGTAGTAAATAATTTTATTTGAAGTTTTTTTTTTTGATTTTATTTTCATGAAATGCATTGAGTTCGATTTTATTTTTTCATTTTGGAAATTTGAAATAATAAATTTTTATATTGATTTTATTGAAATTATTTAAAAAAAAAACAAATTATGTGTTTGAATTATTTAATTCTTTTAATCAATTTAATAGACAAAGTCGAAATTAAGTAAATGCTTACTTATGTTTAATTAAGGTTATTTATTTATTGTTTATAACTGGAAGTCTTTCTTTAATTTTGACTTTATATATTACATTATTGAAAGGAATTAAATAATTCATACGCATATTTTGTTCTTTCTAAAAAAATCAATAACTCAATAAAAAAATTTATAACTTATTTTGAAATGAAAAAAATTAAACTCAATGCATTGTGTTACAATGGAATCAAGATAAAATTGCCAAACAAAATTATTTTTTATAAAAAAATCATCTCATTACGCAACTTGCATGATCTCAATCCACTTTTACTGCACGTGAAGTCTGCTGTTGTATACTAGGAAGCAAAATAAGTAGGAAATTAGATTTTTATAAAAAAATTTAATAAGAAAATATACATTCCAAAATACCGTCATTTTTAACACTATGTTAAATTTAAGTTCAATTTTCATGACTTTTGATGGTTGGACTATTTTTCGCTCCTATTTAAGTAGTCTAGAGATTGAATCAGACCTTTTGTATAATCTGGGACTAAAATGCCTCCACCCAAATAGTTGGAGGACAATTTAAGTCATTTTCTCTTTTTTTTTCTTGCTTACCTTAATGTCAATATGATGCAGGCAAATTAGAAAGAAAAGTCAAGATAGGAGAACAATTGGACAATAGAAACCAAACTCTATTTAATCTAGAATGCAAACATCCAAACAAACACCAAAACAAACAAAAAGTCGAACAAATGAAAACAAATTATAAAATAAAAACACTATCATCAGAACAAACGGCAAGCGATTTCCTCACATGCAACGAAAAGTAGGTAAAATATGATAAGTGCTTAGGGCTTGCAAACCAAGGGTCCACCATAGCAACAAGGTCCAACGTCTAATCAAACTCCTCCAGCAAATGTCACCAAATTCTGCCAACAAACACCTCTAATAGTTCAAGAAGAAGGATACAAGTGGAGTGGAACTTGCGTAGGGAAGAAGAGATTAGAAGCCAAGACGAAATAGAGAGGAGGAAGAGATAATTTGAACAAGCTCTCAAGCTTTTCTAAGAAAAGAGAAGAAACCCTCAGGTTTTTAGAGACTTTTCTCTGGTTAATTAACAACCTTCTCATGACAAATACATCTCTAATTTATAAGAGAAAAAGGGAAGCCAAACAGCCAATTTCCACCTCCAACCGAACCAATCAAGTAAGGGGAAGACTAGCAGACAAAATAGAACATCACCCAAAAAAGACAACACATGAACCAGGTAAAGCAGCCACGGAAAAGAAACCAGGGAAGAAACCGAAAAGACAAAACAGGGACCGGAACCGGCACCCAGCAAAGGGAGGAGAACCAACTACGGGAAACAACCCCGGAAGAAACCGAGGGGACACAAAGAAGGGAAAGAGGCAAGTCCAAATCCACATAATGAGCTAAAAGGAAGAGTACCTTTTCAAATTAATGAGCTAAATGGTGCAATTACTCCTCCAAATAATGAGCTAAACATCAGCTCAAGCAATAATGAGCTAGGACCAAGTAGCTTCCAAATTCTCAGCTCACAACCAAAGTAGTCAAGGCCCAACCTGAGAGGCAACAAACAACCCAAGGACCAAAAGAACCCAAGAAGCTAGCATGCCCAAGGTTTGCTATGCCCAAGCACATCCTACTCATGATCATTGGATGTTTTCCATCATAGGATACAACAACAACTCGACAAGTTTTACGCTGGCTGTCGACTACCTAACGCAACCCTCCACTTTTCTCATCCAGGACTTGGGACCTGACAACGGCATAAAATTTGGATAGCATAAAAAAAATTAAACAAACATTATAATATTCAAATTACAATAAAATAAAAATAAACTGAAATAATGCATGCATCACAATCATGGTTAAACTTTGGATTCAGTTATGGAAGCTTATCTTATCATTTAAAACAAGAATTTTTATCCTTTGTGTTGTGTTTGTGTGAAATATTATTTAATAATACCATTAATATTTAATAAAACCATTTCTTGATGTGCTCATCATGCATGCTCTAAAGTCCATTTTTTACATTATCCTATTTTCTGCTTCAGCTCTCTTCAAAATTTTAAAGAGAAGCTAAATTTATCTTGTATTATTTTTTCCTTTGTTTTCTATGTGACCTTTATGGCAGGTCTGGGTTGTTCTTAAACCAGGCTTCTTGGCTTTTCTGGGAGATCCATTTGATACAAAACCTTTAGACATAATTGTCTTTGACGTACTACCTCCTTCAGATGGAAATGAAGAGGGTCGAGTTCTTCTAGCTAAAGAGACTAAAGAACCAAATCCTTTGCGGTTTGGGTTTACGGTGAGTTTTTAAAATTCTTAATAAGTTCCTTTAATTTTTTTTTTATGTTAGTTTGGTGTAGTGTTACTTTGATTGCATTTGAAAGCAGCATTCATTCCTATCTTGGCTAATAGGTTCCATTCTAGATTTAATATTTGAAGCATTTTTAGACAATTTGCAAAATGTTGTACAATGGTGATTAGTGTTACTCTAAAAAATTTAAAAAGTCCTTGGTGCATGATCAATCATTGATGCCTAGCTTGATTCATTTCAAGAAAGCCTTTTCTTTTGAATGCTATTAATATTAATTATTTTGGCTAGCAAATTAAATTTTTAGTGTGCATTCCTGGTAATCATACTAGGAAGATTATTAGCAAATATTGCTGGTAATAAATTAATAATCAACTATGCAATTTGTATTATTTTGGCTGACATAGAGGTTGGTTAAGTCATTAGTCATATAGTGCTGTAGGTACCATGAATAGAAATAAAATTTATATTTTCATCAGTTGTGCTATACATGAACATTGCGCATAAATGGTGCACAAAAAGATTAACCTAATCTGTGAGTTTTAAAGAAACTTTAGCCCAAGCTAATGACATGGTATTAGTGGCTTAGCTACACATGAATAATTAGGTTACATTTATCTATATGTATTATATGTTTCGTCAAAGAATAAAAATGTAAATGCCAATGCAAGAGGGAGCAAATATAGCGATGGTGACCAACTTATTTTGCAACTCACAAAAATTCCTTCCATTATTCTATTGGTTGAATCATTATGCAATTTTGGTGCCATAGCAATTATCAAACGAAAAAAAAAAGACCAACTAATGAGGGTCTTGAAACTGGGAGGTAGAAGTCGAATGGGATGACAAAAAGCTAGATAGGAAGCGGGAAAGTACTTGGATAACTTGAGTATTTTGCGCACCCAATTAGGTGGCTATCTAAGCACATTACTTGGGTCTATGAAGCATGCAATTTTGCAAACAAATGTCACACAGAGAGAGGTGGTTGGAAGTCCTAGCTTGAGGAAGATTCTATTTAACCATAATCATTCATTCATTGAGCATTACATAAGTAAACCTACCCCCATATATAAAGAAGAGGGCAATACACCCAAAATATAGAAAAAAACTTAATATGCATATAAAAGCTCATAAATGCAATGGTGCCTATGAAATTTAGTCATCATGGTGTAGATGACCTATTAGGAGTCCTCAATTCATGTGTGGTTTTGCATCAGTTCTCTTAGCTTACGAAGAACTCTGCACTAAAAATTTTACCAATCCATGGGGAGGCAGAATTGTTCATGAATAGCTTGTGGAATTGTGGAAGCTTGTATCAGCACTTGTAAAAAGATTTGGAGTCTTTGAGGCAAGAGTGGTTTTGATAATTACTGACGACAGAAGGTGGTAGCTGGGTATCTAAATTAGCTGGCACTATCTAAAACAAAGTAGCATCACTTGCAAAAACAACTACAATCAAGATCATAGGCTTGAGAGCTTTTCAGTCAGGCAACTTAAGGATAACCATAAAAATTGAATTTATAAAAATTGAAGCATAATTTACAAATTTTGATCATTATCACGAACAATTAAACTATATTTAAGAATATCATTATTATAAACAATCTAATGTTAGCCTGCATATGGGTTGTGTCTCAAAGTTTATGTTGTATTTGTTACTGAGGTGTACCCTCATTGAAAACTAGTATGAAATATTTGTCTCATTAATAGATGACATTCCACATCCTCAGATTGTGAAATTAATCTTGAGCATTTCCTCATCACCAAAACTCAAGTGTGTGGTCGAAGGAGCCAAAAGTCTCTCCCTACCTATGCTAAAGGATACAATCTGAGTGCTGCATGTAGGCAAGGAAATGCTGAAATATGATACAACCTCAATGCATATGCTCAAAACTATATCTAGATCCAACTCTAATTTGATTTTAGGTTTAAACCGATTTGGACTTTCACACCAAAAGCCCTACAAGAATCTAGCTATAGAGAGTTGGGGTATCGATCATACGATGGATTCTAACTAAGAGACCCTCTTGGCTTAAATTAGCGTGCAGGTCCTTGCTATCATCACTCTGATAAGTTTAAAAGATAATAAAAGACAACCGAACATAAACAATTCAACAATGAGAATATAAAATATGACATAAGATCATGAACCAACATAGGGGTTGAGGATTGTTAACCCGCCGTATAAAACAAAAAAAAAAAGAAAAAAAATTACAAACCCATCTGCCTTCCAAAATTTACCCCGGAACTTAGTTTGTTAAAACTCCCTCGCCGAATAAGAAAAGCGAGTGGAGGCCGGGGCCGAATTTTCGGAGCCCACAAGGATTGACTTGAGCTACATGTTTGATAATAAAAAAATATGATATTCCCTATCTCTCGGAAGAAAATAGAGAGATATTTTAAGAGATTAAGTTTTAAAAAGTAAAAAAAGAAAAAAAAGATAAAATGACACTTGCACGTGAGCCACATGTTTCATACTAAGTAGGAAAATAAAACAGTGAAGATAATTCCATTTTTGATCTACCTTATCTTTGATGCATGTCCCTGGAAAACACCTAGAGAGGATCATCAGTTGGAATAATAATTTTTTTTAATTCTTATTTGTTCCTTATATTTTAGTATCATTCTATTGGGGTTGGTAGGTGGTGGGTGTGTGGGGAATTGGGTGGTGAAAAAACTGCCATGTGTTTACATATTAACTCAAAAGAGATTGAGATGTGCATTAAAAATGACAGAAAATTAAAGGTCACAATGAATAGTAAAGAGCAAATGTGAGAAAGAATGAAAGATACACAAATCAAATTAGAGTAGTTTGTCCCAATGCTTGTCCACTTGAATTCCTCTAAATTCTCTCCTTTGAAAATCAGTAATGGAGAAATCTTGTACAATCCCCAAGCTTCTTTAAGACAACGAGTCTACTAATCCTAGTAATAACTAGCTAGATCACGTAAAAAACTGGCGAATCCTTGGGAATGTCTCTTAGCCTTTACAACATACAAGAAATGAAAAATGGAAGCTCACTAAAGGATGAGAAAAGAAGAGAATGTTGCTCAGGAACTACTGCATTTTTTAGTAGAATGCAAAGAATAAACTTAGAAATAATGGAAGATTACTGCCACTACCAATGGGGTTTGATAGGCCTTAATGGGCTCTTATATATGGCAGAACGTTCCTAGAAATTGCTTATATTAATTCCGTCATATAGCTGCTGGAGCTAAGCAATAACAATTTCTTTTATTAAACAATCACATGGGCCAAATGATTGAACATTTAGAAGATTGAAAGTTCATCCTGATGGACCTGATCTTATTCCCGTGGATCGGCCAAATGATCATTGGTATACTCAAGATGTTCAACTTGTATGGATTGATTAACAATGTCTTAACATTTAGCCAATTCTCCGTCACCTCAACCAATAATGAACCCACTAAATAGGGAAAGGAAAGAAATGGTTTCTTACCATTGTCTATGGATGGAATATTTTAGTTTCATGAGTATGAAATCTGAAATTCAGTAATCACGTATCTATGCATGGTTAATGAGTCATTTATTTAGTCTAATTTGGTATATATCATGTAAATTTTTTGAGTATTTTCTTGGTGCCCTGATTGGTGGAAGAGTATATTTTTTTGGCTATTCAACTGTTATCATAATCATTATTAGTGTTATCTTTAATTATTTTGGGTTGGATTTATGAATTATCCTCCATTAATTAAATATTGAGTGTTGCATGATTTTTAACTCTATTTTGGCAAATCATTTAGGGCTCTAATTATATTATTTGGTCTATCCAATTTTTTTTTGTGGTCTTTATGCGATAATTAGTTTTAAGTTTCCATATAGCTCTGAAATAAACTACTGAATTTTAATTTTTTTTGCTTTTACTGAAGATCTGAGAAGTTCAATCTCTAATCAACATTCATCTCAAAAGGTATCTAGTGGAAGCCGAGCAATTAATCTGAGGGTAAAAAGTAGTTCCAAAGTGAAAGACTGGATTGCTGCAATAAATGATGCTGGTTTGAGGCCTCCCGAGGGGTGGTGTTATCCTCACCGTTTTGGTTCGTTTTCACCCCCAAGGGGCTTGATAGAAGATGGCAGTCAGGTACAATGGTTTGTTGATGGCCAGGCTGCATTTGATGCAATTGCTTCTTCCATTGAAGAAGCAAAGTCAGAGGTATTTCTACATTGTCTCTTTTTTTTAAAGAGAAAATGGTTGTCCTTGTATATCTGATAGTTATTATTCCACCAGCTCTACCATCATTGGCAAGTTTTATGCAGATATTTATCGCTGATTGGTGGTTGTGCCCAGAGCTTTATCTTCGACGCCCTTTTCATGCTCATGGATCTTCGCGACTTGATTCATTGCTAGAAGCTAGGGCCAAGCAAGGTGTTCAGGTAGCTTCTATGCCAGCTCAACAATCCATACTGCTTCATGTATTTCTTAAACTCTTTTGAGTTCTTTGCTTTTATGCTACAAGCAATTGAGTACTAAGTAATATGGGTGGTTTTGCTTCCTAATATATTGGTTTGAACTTGAAGCTTCACACACAAATATATATATATATATATATATAAGATATATATATATATATATATCTCGGTTTCCATTAATTTTCACTTCCATTTGGTTTTGTTCGATAAAATCTTCATATTAATGAAGGGAAATATACCAACATAGTCTCCCGACTCTTTATTTGACAATTTTGTATCACATTTCTTCGTTTTAGTCTGTCTATACACAATTAATCCCAAATAGTCCATCAGTGACTAAATTGGGATCAATTTTTTTTTATAATGGAGGGACTAATTGGGATCTATTTTGTCACAATCTTTATAAATTTTTACATGAGACCGTTTAGGATCAATTTATATAGTCGATGGACTAAACTGAAGAAATAAGATACTCTTGAAACTTTATTAACCATATATGAATAGTCCGGGGACTATTTAATGAAGATATGTTTCATTTTCTTCGAGAGTGTGGAGCTCGAGAAGCAATGATCAATATGCTTCCATTATGTTTTGAAGTGATTTGGTTTGAATCACAAAATAACCTCTTTGTAATGCAAGACATGACCTCTTGTTAAATCTTGGCCGTCCCTTGACATTTTGATCCCACGGATAGGATGTGAATCCATGGAAGACTCACTTGTTAAATCCCAGCCGTCCCTTGGCATTTTAATCCGACAGCCATGATAGAAATTCGTGGGAGGCTCACCTGGATCACGCTGATCTCCTTCCATATTTAGTTGGCTGATTTAGGAAGGATTATATTAGAGCAATTATGCATGATTTTGTAATTATTTGTTTCTTTATTAAGTTATATTTTATAGATCTATAAATATAGATAGTTTTGTGTAATAAAATTAAGCCTTTTTTCTCTCCAATTCTCTAAATTTAACATGGTATCAGAGCCTTCATTGCCATTGTTGGATTTTTTAGTTTTTTAACTAAATATTAGAATATAAAATGAAATAACTTGAACTTATTGTGCTTCAACATTTTCCTTTATTTTTTCTCTAACAACAAGCAGTATGAAAAGAATTGGTGAGCTATGAGGCTCAATAAGTTATGCAATTTATATAAAAATCAAATGTCAGATTATAAATAATAACATAATTAAATTAACTTAGAAATATTTGGAAAACAACATAAAAGTCTATATAGAATATCAATATTAGTCTTTAAAGATTTGGCTAAACTTTCATAAAAATGTTCAATGGAGCTCAAGTAAACTTGACATTATCGTCATTGAACTACATAGAGGTCCATTTTATTTCTTTAGAGGTCCCTTCTGCCCCCTCATACTATGCAAGTATCATATCTAGGGTTCCTTTCACCTCAAATGCTATTGTAAGTTTCATATCATTTTATAGCCAATCTTTACTAATATGATATTCAATAAATTTTATATATTCATAGTTCATATTTGTATTGTATGGTTGTATAATTTTATTACAACATAGTTGTTATACTGTTTACATAAAGAGACTGTGTATACAATACATAAAGAATTGTACTTCTTTTCAAAATGTTAGCAACTAGCAAAATGTTCAAATAATCATATCATATATTCTGGTAAATTCCAATTCCTCAAACATAGGTGTAGTCGCTCATACATGAATACTTGACTGTTAACGTGCATAATATAAAATCACCTTACTTTAATGACTATCTTTCTAAATTGTCGTTCAAAGTCAGCTACATGTCTACAATGATAACATTTACTCTTTAATTCGAATTTGTATTACTTATCTCTTTTACGATTTGTCTCCTCAATTCTTCCACCTCGTACTCTTTCCTTTTGTAAGTAACATATACAAATCACTTCTAAATCCCTATATTTTCTATAATTTATCATTCAAATAAATTTGCATAAAATCAATTTATACTAACATAATCATTTACCTCGTAACCTCCTTTATGCATGTATCTGAAGAATCCTAAATACAAGTTGAATAATCTTCTGTAGAAACTTGTACTAACCTTTGCAAATTTATCAACCACTTTAAAACAACTAAAATTTTCTTACCTCAATTTCGTCTTCCTTCTTCCCTAAACTTCTTCTTCCTTTGCTTCTTTACTCAGCTGAAAATTTCGGATCCTTTCAGTGCTACTAATTCCTCACAATCACGGTTCCCTCACACAGAAATTTCTATAAATTAACTGCTGTTCTACTCACAGGATCCACAAGCCATGCTTCCCACTTCCTTCAGCACATAAAACCGAATTCTTCCCTACAGCCATTCTCTTCTTCACCTCACTGAGCCGAACTCCTCCTTCAGCACTGTGCCGAACACTGCTACAGTAATTCCTGCACTTGATTTTTCTCTCTCTTGGCTTGCCTGAAATCAAACGAAATAACTGCTCTAATAACTCCTTACAGCCAAAATATGCATCTTTCAGAAATTAGGATATTACATAATTTTCTTCAATATATTATCTATTATTAATAAAAATTGTTTTCTTATCTTAAGAATAACTACTGTTAAGTAAATATTAATTTACTTAACTGTAACAATAATTGAAAAGTATTATTTAAACTAATTTAAAGTTTAAAAAAATAGAATTTGTTGAAATTTTCATTACCTAAAATTTTGAATTTTATAAATATACAATACTTTACTCACCTTTCTTCTCCGCTATTTCTTCTACCTTACTAATATCTACAGAGCTGCGAGCCGTATTCTTTCAAGAAGCACCAAGATAATTTTTTAGGAAAATAAGCAATGAGTTGCTGAGTGGTCTATGCGATATGGCTTCTGGAGCATTGTGGTGTTATACAATATTGTTCTACATGATGGTGAAACATTTAGAAGTATTGGAGCTTCACAATAGTTAACCTTAAAAAGTGGAATTGTAGTTTTTTTTTCATACATATGACGTGAATTTTGCCATAATAATCAGGCATGCTAATATTGGTAATATTTCATAGATATTACCCTGGATCCCAAACATGCACATTTGCTATGTTTGGAAAATAAGTTCTTTCAACATTGACTATTTCCCTTGGCTAAAGCAGCTATTCGGGGAATGAATGGATTGGATCGATTAGAAATGAAATAATTTGTTTAATTTGCACGAGTTATATGATTCACCACCATTTTGTGGGGCATTGTTAGGAAAATATTTCTTTACCAGCACTAAGAATAATTTTGTATTCTAGTGGTTAAAAAATTCATGATTTTTCTGTATATAAAATCATCATTACAGAAGTGGGCCTCTTCCACATAAAAAGGGAAAATTTTTGTTTCAATAGAATTATAAGTGGTGTGGAAGAAACAAAATTCAGTGGCATCTTTATGCTTCTTTTTAACATCATGCTTGTTGAAATGAGAAGACATCTTGTTCATGATATTGTTCTCTTAATTTTAGTCTGCAGATTATATGACTAATTGATATCAGATCCTCAAACTTATTTGGTCCGATTTATTCTTATGATCACTTATCCATTTTGCACATTTCACTATGACTGGGTTGGGACCCTTGCGGGGGAAAGGAGTTAGGTGGGTTGGGAGTATATCTTGTGTACAACATAGCATCTACATTATAGTCAAGATTATGATGTCTAACAATTTGCAGATTTACATCCTTCTATACAAAGAAGTTGCTCTTGCCTTGAAAATTAATAGCGTATACAGTAAGCGAAGACTGTTGAACATTCATGAAAATGTGAAAGTTCTGCGTTATCCAGATCATTTTTCAACTGGCGTTTATTTGTGGTACGATATTCCATTCTACTAATCGAAACTTCATATTGATTTTCTAGCAAAAATAAACTAATTTTCTTTTTTAACTGTCCATTCATGTTAAAATTCTCATCCATTCTAGGTCCCATCATGAGAAAATCTTGATAGTTGATAATCGGGTTTGCTATTTGGGTGGACTTGATTTGTGCTTTGGCCGCTTTGACAACTCCAAACACCAAATTAGTGACCATCCTCCTTTGATTTGGCCTGGAAAAGACTACTATAATCCAAGGTAAATTTATTCTATGCTGTGATTACTTAGACCCTAACACTGAATTTGTTTCTTTTTCAAATTTAAATTAAACTTCTTTTTGTCAATTAAGGGAATCTGAACCAAATTCATGGGAAGATACAATGAAAGATGAGGTCGACCGAAGTAAGTATCCTCGCATGCCTTGGCATGATGTCCAGTGTGCTCTTTGGGGACCACCTTGTCGGGATGTTGCAAGACACTTTGTTCAACGTTGGAATTATGCAAAGGTTGATTCTGCTTCAAGGTTCTTTGATTAATTATGTATGCTATTTTAGTCCTAATTATAATAGTTTTCTTATTTATAGAGAAACAAAGCTCTACATGAGGAGGCGATTCCTTTGTTAATGCCTCATCATCATATGGTTATTCCTCATTATATGGGACCAAACAAAGAAGTTAAAGATGATATTAAGCCAGAAGATATCAATCCTAGAGGACTGAAAAGGCAAGAATCATTTTCCTCTCGTTCTTCATATCAGGACCTCCCATTACTTTTACCCCAAGAGCCAGACGGGCTAGACAAAGTTAGTGGAAATCCAAAGATGGAAATAAGTCAAATTCTTGCAGAACAACGGAGTAAGGCAAATTACAGTTCTGCTTTCTCATTTCGGAAGGCCAAAGTTGAGCATCCAATTCCAGATATGCAAATGAAGGACTTTGTTGATGATATTGATTGTTGTCAAACTCGGGGAGATGGGAATTATAATGGAATTGCGCAAACCTCTTTTCTTAATATTGATAAAGAGTGGTGGGAAGCACAAGAGCGTGGTGATCAGGTCTCTACAGAGGAAGTTGGACAAGTTGGTCCTCGTACGCCATGTCACTGCCAGGTTAGATCTTTTTGATAAATGAACTCGTTGATTAATTTGTCCTTGCAGTTGTGATTCATTATCACACCAATTTCTTGCTGACAATACATATTTTTTTAAATTGAGCATTGTACTCTTTTTGATCTGTGGATCAGGAAGATTTATTACATTGATGGATAATGTGAGGAAACAAATTGTTTGATACGTATCTATGTTTTTACGTTGTTACTTCACATATAACAAAAACCAAATCAGGGAATGCCAATTGCAATATTTTTGCAAAAAACAAAATTTTGATGGTGACCTTCATGTTATACCCAATAGAAAAAATGAGGACTCAAAATCATACCAAGAAACCATTGGTTCCAGGAATCTCGCGGACAGAGTCGCTCCCGTAAATCCTGCCCAAAATCCCGCCGAGGTACTGTAGCACGGCGCCGTTCGCGTATGTTCCCGCAAATCGTGCGACGAGTCCTCGATCCCGCTCCCATTCGAGTCGTTAAATACCGAACCCTCAGCCGCTCTTCCCTCTGCTTGCTCACAATCTCCTCTTGCACGAGCTCTTCTATCCACGATCTCTTCCCCACTCCTCCGACCTCCAACCTCCTCCGTGTTGCTCTACCTCGCTCCGGCGACGTCCTTTCCTCCCAACCGATCGGAAGTCACGAAGTCCTGATCGGAAGCAACGATCGGAGCTCTCTGATCGTGAGAGCTTCTGTGCCGCCGACCTCCTCAACCCGGATCTCTTCAAATCTAGAGAGAGAGAGAGAGAGAGAGAGAGAGAGAGAGAGAGAGAGAGAGAAGGGTTCACATACCTCTTTCCATAGACCGGCCGACTCCGCTTCCCTCCTTCCCTGCTGAGTCGGAAGTTATGACATTTCTGATCGGAAGCAACAAGGGAGCTCGTTTGCTGTGAAGGTAACTTTCTCCCTTTCGGGAGCTTCTTCGGCCGAATCCAGTTGCCGAGCAGCCCCTTTGGGCTTTTTTTATATTTATATAAATTAGAAGTATTTACTTTATTTTGTTTTATTAATTAGTTCTAATTATGAATTAGTGGTAATTAATTTAATTTAATTTAATTAATTATGTTAATTATAATTAATACTTATTAATCATAATTAAATAAGATTAATTATGTTTAATTAGTTTTAATTATTATTAAACACTGCCGTTGCCAGGTCCCAAGTCCTGGATGAGAAAAGTGGAGGGTTGCGTTAGGTAGTCGACAGCCAGCGTAAAACTTGTCGAACAATAATGACATGAATCCTTTAAGAAATTGTGTTAATGCTAGGGCGTCCCCTGGAAGCGACGCGCTGTATGGCCTGAATACAGTGACAAGTGTGCAAGGGCCGCTGCACCGGCGCCCGGGTGCAGTGTTAAATAGGAAAGGGTTCCCACATCAAGGACGGATGTGGGCAAAGAAGCTAGTCCAAGAAACAAAAAATAGGATAGGAACTTTGAATATAAGTTCCCTTACAGGAAAATTAATGGAATTAATAGATATTATGATTCATAGGAAATTAAATATTTTATGCATTCAGGAAACTAAGTGGGTTGGAGAGAAGGCCAAGGAAATCGATAGTGGCGAGGTGGGGTCAAATATAAACTGCTTATTTTAAACTGGTGCCCGCAACCCATGCACGCCTTTCTCTGGCATGGTGGGGAAAACAAATTATTACGGTCGCGGTGTCCTCTTCTGAGGGCACCTACCGTGCACGCTTTTCTCTAGCGTGGCGGGAGGCCCAGTTTTCCGTAGTTTTCCCCTAAATGGGGGAGACGCCGGAAGGCTGCCGAAATTTCGGATAAATGCAAGATTGTACTTGGACAATTTGGAGCTTTACTTGGACATTGATTGGAGCATCAAATGGACTTAATTCAAACTCAAACAATATAATAAGTTTGAGTGCAAACGAAACAAGAGAACAGCTCGAACTCAAGTGAACTGCAGGGGACTTATGAACTCGGACTGGATTGAACAAGCAGTGAACTATTTGAACATGCAATCAAACTTGCAAAGACATAAATGACTTGATTTGAACTCAAGTGAGCTTACAATTGGGACATGCATTTGAACTTGGTTTAAACCAAGTGAAAGAGACTTATGAACTTCAAAATGACATAAAGTGTTTTAATTCAATTTGAACCTAAATGAAAAATACAAAAGGACACACTATAATTTGAACCTCATTTGATCATGATTTGAACAATCATGGGAACTTATAATTTGACCAAGGAAGACTTGAAAGACTGAACTTGAACTAAGTTCAAACCACTCAAAGCTTGATTAGAATTAGATGACAAAGAATTGCAAGTTCAAGTTTTACTTGAATGATGAAAAGGACATGATACTCCTTGTATAAGAACATTCAACTCATGGTGATCACCTCAATGGGAATGAAGAAATTGATGATGATAACGTCAAGCTCATTGAAATTTATCATCAAAGATAAAGAATTTTGCAAGTGAAGTGTTACTTGCAAGCAACACTTGAAGAGGGATAGTGGGTTCAAACACTTGCAAATGATGACGGCCAGGTGATCACAACAAATGATATGATTGCAAATGAAGATCTAAAATACAAGACTATTATGCTAGCTATAAATCATCCTTAAGAACAAAGAACATGCAAGTATATTTTGCTTACAAGAAGCAAGAAGATTGCAAATGAGTATGGTGAAAAAGGGCTATTTATTCTCAAAGTCATCTTGCAGAAAAATGCTAGGGTATCCCCACAACCTACAATACTTTTGCAACAAATATGGATCCAACGTACAATAGATCCAACAATGTTCTACGATCAACATCAATACATCAACAAATACATTTAAACTTGCAAGCAATGTAATGAGTATGGTGATTTTGCTAGCTATCATGCACGAAGAGTATAGGAGGCAATTATGCTTGATGTAGTCCATCAAGAAGATAATAAGTACTGAAATGCTACGAATACAAAGAAGCATGAGTAAAACATATAAGAAATGGTGATAAATGAAAGCACCTACAAGGTATGTAGCAAGAGCCAATGAATGTTGTAACGCTCATGTAGCCAACCATCACTCAACATCAAACAAATATATTGGACCTCTACAAGCAAGTATAAAGGATCTGCAACACATACGATCTCTCTACGAAGACAAATGTATGTGCCACAACATCCACCCATGAGTAGATGCATAAAAAAAACTACAGTAAATGCAGTATCCTATAGTCAACTTCAGTCTAAGGATGAATACATCTATCTCCAGCAATAGTGGATGTATCATAAAGATCAAAATCATAGCAGAATGCATAAAGAATACGAGTTCCTACAAGCTTCTACAACCCAAGGCAGGAGATTAGTTAGTGCACTATGACCCGCCAACAAAAATCAACAAATAGTGCACGACAGTCTACCTGTACAAAATAGTAAACAACTGATCCATAAACTGCTATTTCACGCCACCGGATCCGTAACATTCGTACTAGCGGATAGAAGGCGTGTACAAGATCTCAAATGAAAAGTTGTGTGCATCTAAACAACAGTTATATGCACAACTACAATCATCTCAAAGTACCCCCGCACGTGCACCGTAGTTTGTATACACATAGGTACACTAAAAGGGAAAAAGTAATTATACAACCCGCATGGGCCCCGGCGAGCGTGTTATTGGTACACACGTGACGTCTAGGGATGCTACGCGGGTTACCAGATACGACGGTAAGAAAAACAAATTGAAAGAATTCGTTTAGTTCAAATTGAAAGTTCTCTCTCGTTATTGGGAGGGGTAATTCACTATAGGGGCTTGCGCCTATAGGAAACCAGAACTCAGATCATAAAGTCCTCACAAAATGAGGGCGAAATCTCTGGGTAGTGTCTTATCTACAAACCCATCTGCCTTCCAAAATTTACTTTGGAACTTATTCAGTTAAAACTCCCTCGCCGAATAAAAAGAACAGCAGGCGGAGGCCGGGGCCGAATTTTCGGAGCCCACATTCGAGAAATAAAATTGACTTTCCTGTAGGCTTCTGATTCAGGTCTGTTTTTTCATATAATGAAGAACCTTTATAATTTGAGATGGGGGAAGTTGGTTGTGTGTCAGATTTACTCCTTGTTTTTTATTAAATGTTATGAATGCTTATATAAAATGATTTTTATTAACATTTCCATGACACCGCGATCAGATATCCAGTAGTCATGTCTACACTTTGGCTGGCGGTTCATTCCTCGGATATTCAAACTCCATTAATTCATTAAATATAGTATTACCATCAATAAATACATTATCTCAAGGAAAGCAACAATACATTCTATTCATAATTAGCTGGAAAAAGAGATTTTCTAGGCTCAATTTCCAATTCTGAAAGTGGCACTAATTCTTGTCTATATATATGTTTTATATATACAAGAATTGGAATATTAATGGAGTATTTCCTTTCATTATTTGTGCAAATTTATATAATCTTAGAAAAGCATCTAATAAGAAATATATAAAATCAAAAACTAAAAATAGCTTCAAATTAATTACAGTAGGACAACCCACATAGATTCATGAGGTGGATGTGGGCTCTGAAATTTGTGGCTCGGCTTTGCTAAGAGGGTTCTTATGATCATTAGATTCCTTAAGTTGGTGAAGAAAATCCCTTTCATTAGCAAGTCCAATAATCATCCTTCTGCGCTATTATTGAAAGATATAATGGGAATGATTAATCTTTAGTAGCTTTTGGAGAGTAACAAGTTGGTAAATAATTTAGGTACATGGATAGTATTTCAGAGTGTGATGGATTTATTTATAAGAATGTCTCATTGTTAGACATGATTGCTAAGGAATCATAAAAAAATGTTATTTTCTTATTGTTAGGACAATGAGAATATGAAAAAAATTGTGAGTGAGTCACATGATTTGTAGCTTCTAAATCAATGATTTAGTAGTTGGAAATGGGCATATTGAGATTTTAAAAGAATGCGAAGAGAAAGTCTTATTTGAGAATGATGGAGATTAAGTACCTATTACAGGACTTTTTTATAGTGATTCTAGTAAGTTTTTCATTTTTTTTTTACTTCTTTACGGAACTTGATGGGTGATTCTTTGATATTTACCTTCTCCTAAATGCATTATATGTGCATGTCAATGTTCTTTTGTCTATCCTCTTTGTTTTATCCAATTTTGTCATCATAGTTTTCCATGAAGCTTATGATACCTTTCCTTTGCATGACGATCCTTTTTGCAAATATTGCATCATAGAGAATTTCTATTGATTTTTTTTGCTAGGGACAACTTCTTGTTTCGAGGATTTTGGGTAAGAGTTTTTGATGTTAGCAGTCTTTATCACTATTGTTGAACTCTCAATGAATTTGTTGGTAATCTTGACTCCTCATCTTTAGTTTGGATTATCGCAATAACCTTATTTAGTGATCTGAATAGTCTTTTTTGAGACTTTGAGTTTATTGTTTGATCATGTAAGATTTCTACAACAGTAATGAAGGTTACAACTTAAAAAAAAAAGAAAAAAAAGAAAAGAAAAAAAAATGCCTGAAGCTCTATTACCATGAGAAGAATTGGTTGAGCATTTCATTCCATCATTTATACAAATTTTATACAATCCTAGGATAGACCTTCTAATAGGAAATGCACTAAATCACGAAATGAAAAATAGCCAAAAAATTAATTGTTATAGGTAGCCCACATGAATTGGTGAGGTGTTAGCAAATATTCCATCGATTGATGAGGTCACAATGGAAAGAATAAGGAAAGAGGGCTAGCTAGTTGGCTCTTAGGAGTTAGGCTATGGCGGATGAACTGGCAGGATCCAACTGGGGTGAACAGGCTACCTGGCATGGAAGCCAATGCATGCCCGTTGGGAGCCAGTTGGAGGTTGATTTACATGGTTCCAAGTATCACACATGCATAGACATGATTTCGAGTATATATCACACACATGCCCTTCAAGTGGTTGCAAATAGGTACTCTCAGTCCTTGGTGTGATCAATCTAAACTAAATGTCATAAATGCTCTTTACCAAAGCCGATATTCCTGACAGAGGACTTCATAAATGGATCATATATATGTTTTGACGAAGATTTGATCTAGCTTTGCCAAATTTGACACAGGCAAGACCATACCATTGGTCTGTTTGATTGATAAAGCAAGGGAACTCCGCCTATGTGTTCGGCCTAGACTAACCAACCATTATTGGCAAACATTCCTAGTGAAAGAAAGGATCATTATTCCTTTGTTGATTCAGTCCATATATATTGATAATTAACAAATAGTACCACTTTGATTTTTGAGGGCATAATTATCTTGAAGAGAGTTCCAGTGACAATGCTGAAAGAATGACTGCTGTACATAAATAATTCCATTGCAATCTGTTATTGAGACTTTCTTTTCTTATTTCTCATTTTTCATACAAGATTAGCACTGCTTTTCCCTTTTATAGCGCACATACAAATATCTTATTTTCAATGACATGTGGAATCCAGGTCATTAGAAGTGTTGGCCAATGGTCTGCTGGAACAAGTCAAACAGAAGATAGCATCCACAATGCATACATTTCTCTAATTGAAAAGGCAGAACATTTCGTTTATATTGAGGTATGCAGCATGCTTCTTAAATCTTGCATGAAATCCAGATTGAACTTTTATATTGGATTATGTAGAGCACTTGGCTTCTCCTTTAGTAGTTTCAATACAAGTTGTATGCAGCATAATTGTAAGCACAATGCCATCTTGTATTTTGTTAGGAGTTGTCAAAATAAGTTCTAACCTTAGCTTGAGTTCCTTATCATTCAGAATCCAGCTGAAGATAAAATTAATTCCTTTTGTTTATTTTTCATAACATACAATATTCATAATTATCACGGAAACGATTTAGTTTAGATCACTAACCCAAGTACCCTTCAATTTCCAGAATCAGTTTTTTATTTCAGGTCTTTCCGGAGATGATATAATACGAAATCGAGTTTTGGATGCATTGTATAGGCGTATCATGCGAGCACACAAGGAGAATAAGTGTTTTAGAGTTATTATTATCATACCCCTTTTACCTGGCTTCCAGGTATTATGTAAGAACATATATTGTTCTATCTGCTTCTGTAAGAAAATCATCTATCTGAAGATATATTTTATCAGGGAGGTATTGATGATAGTGGTGCTGCATCTGTAAGGGCACTGATGCATTGGCAATATCGAACAATTTGTAGAGGACCGAGTTCTATATTACAGAATCTTTACGACATAATGGGGCCTAAAGCCCAGGAGTACATATCCTTCTATGGTCTAAGATCATATGGCAGGCTTCAAGATAGTGGTAGCTTAGCCACCAATCAGGTATGTCTTTGTTCTAGTTATTCGAATTGTCACTTTAACTTGATTTTTCTTACTTCTCATTGTATAGTTAGGCAAAACTGATGCTATAAGTTGATTTGCTCATGTAAATATAGCATGATATGCACTAAATCGTGCAAACATTCAAATTTATAAAATCTTATTTTCAAAAACTTTCATTGCTTAGATGAAAACTAAAAAAATAAAAAAAACCTTTTTAGATAATAATTTAAGAATCATTCACAAAAAATAATGCATTAAAATTTGATATCATAAAACTCATTCAATCAATTGAAATTCATGTAATCATAAAAGTTCAGATTGTATCAAGTTCAAATGTTCAATGAAACATCAATCACATTCTAAACTAATTACAAGAAAGAGAACATAAAAAAAGAAGGAATTTAAGTCAACAAGTCAAGCCTGCTACTTGTGCTAGGAGATAATTTCTCCCGGAAATCTTTTAGTCTCATTTTCACAGTTCTAGACTGAATGAGTTGCACATCCAACTAGGAATTTATTCAAAAAAAAAAAAAAACTTGATTAATTCCTTACATGCCTCATATTACTTTTTATAATCACAAAATTCCCTCAAATTTACAAATAAAAATCATAAGATAATAAGTTATCCATCAATTCTAGCTACTTTTTTTTTAATAAAAGCAAACTTATAACCGATTAATGAAGTGGCACAACATGAAGCGCAGTTATAAAGAAATGTCAATCGATAGTATTGATCAAAATACAAGGAACAGAAGATAACATGATAGAAGGGAGAAAGTATACTATGAAATGTTGATTAGCCATATTCGCTCCTTACAAGTAAAGAATATCACAGTCAATAGGCGAACTATTGCATCTTGCTTGAAGTCTAGTAAATTTTGGTGAATGAAGAATTTTTTTTTTTCTTATTCCAGCCTCGTTCAACAAACATGGTTTGAAACCTTTTATGCAATTATTCTTTAATACTGGGAGACTTTTATCAGAAGCATACAACTAACTGATCATATCCTAGTCACCAACATCTTCTACAATAGGAAGATTGTAAGGAGCATGCGCTATCACAACTAATGAGTCTAAATCAAATTTGATATTTGAAGAGGAAGTTCCTTCCACTATGATGATACTATGGACATATGCAGTAGCTTCAAATGGAGGCTTTGAAAAGCAAGAGTTTGATTACAATCCAAATCGAATGTAGGATGAACTATGACCACCAAGTTTGTATGTTGTATCTGTTAAGTTGTGTTATCCGCATTATATTGAATGATAGGATACATAGAAAATGATTTTCTCAGTTCAGGGTGACCCTTGTTGCAAGTTGAATTAATGTAGCAAGCTGAACAATATGAGTGAATGCTCTCAAAGTCAACTTTCTGCCAATAACCACTTGAGGAGCCAATCCAAATCTCCTTATCCAAAGGAGTAATAATGTCTATTTTAACCAAAACCTTAACCACTTATGGCCTAGAGAGACTTGAAGCAATAGGACTCTTGTAAAGGTTTGCAAAAATCTAACCGAAGAATTGGTTAAAGTAGAGAATTCAAAGTTGAGAAAAAGCAACCTAAACCAGAGTTATAGGTAGCTCGTAAGAAGAATCAAAACATGGAAACCACCTAAGCATCTATTTCGAAGAGCTATTTACATAGAATGATCTCCTTCAGAAGAGTCTTCAATAATTTGCTTCTAGAGATAATTTGATTAGAACATGGTGAGAGTCAAAGTACCTTAACACATAATTCACCAACAGTCGCAATTTAAACATGAATCTGCAAATAATCTCAAGACAGGGATAACTCTAAGATAACTTGCTAGCTATTGAGTAAGTGGAAGCTACCAACTAATGAATCTCATCTTCAGAAAAGATGGGAGCAGGTTTATTGTGCAAGGTGTAGCACAACTTGTGTTGATGTCACGACCCGGCCCGGTTAGCTCGCAAGTGCGAGGCGGAAACGGAGATCGGACGGAAAAGAGACCAATCAACAAAAGAAAAGCGTGCGAAGTCTGAAATGACTTTTTGCGGGTTTTACAGTTGAGGTGGATAGGAACCTTTTGGAAAAAAAAAAGAGAAATGAGTCAGAACGAGGATGAAAGCCTGGAGCATTCATCCCCTCAATTGCTTTAACAAAAGAACTAGGGGCTGCACCAAGAGTCTCAACAATAACTGTTACCCTTAATACGGGAGTGGGATCCTTAGAGGAAGCATCACATGGAGAGGCCACCAGATTAGCATTATGTAAAGGAGGACCTCCAGCACACTAGCCAGATTTTAAACAGGCCTTGAAACTATAACCCTAAAAGAGACATTCTTAAAGTAGAGAATAGTTAAAAATCGACATGGAATTGAGAAAAGTGAGTGTATTTAACGAAAATCACAAAAATTAATGGATGAATGATGCTAAAAAAAGATTAGAGAGATTGATGAGGTCATCGACAGACATTTCAGGTAGGTCTACCGGCGAAGGAATCATAGATCGACGGCTACGATTAGGAGCTTATATTTCTGATGTTTTCCATGTCATTTCGGATATTTTTCATGTATCTTTTAATTTCAGTTTTAGTTTACTATTTTGCCCTTATGGATGTTTAGTCATTGTTGTAGCCCTGTGGGCATTTGAGTCATGTTATTTTCTTTTGATGAGACCTATATAAAGAGGTCTTCTACTATTGTATGAGCTTAATGTTTGATTAATAAAATTTCTGAGAGTTCATTCTTCTTCTTGCTTGAGAGCTTGTGAAGTTTGAATTCCAACATTAAAACCCTCATTAATTCTTTCCTAAAATAGTTCACCACAATTAGGAAAAGGATTTAATTGAGGCCCAATCTATGTTGAATTCAAATTTCAGATCCCTCTCTTCTCTCCCCCCATTTTGAAACTTTCCTAAATTAATTAAAATCTGAAATTCAAAATCAGATTTGGATTAATTCCCTTGGCCCCACTAATTAATCAATTTCTCCCTTTTTCCTCCTTGCATGGCCGGCCACCCCACTTAGCCTTTTCTCTCTCCACTTGCCACCTAAGCCTCCATTAATTAGCCTATTAATCCCCCCCCCTAATAGCCGCCCCTCTCTCTAGCCTAATTTAGGGAGATTTTAATGGCAAATAATCTCTCCCTCCAATCCAAATTCAGATTTTCTTCAAGCAAGATCTCCCTCCACATCCCTCTCCCTAGCTCACAGCAAACTCCTCCTCCTTTCTTTTTCTTCTTCCCCATTCAATCCCATTATGAATGGCGGATCCAGAATTTGAAGGTGGACTCGTATTCGACGCCTATGGAAATATCCACGTTCTTCAATCTCCGTTCTTCGACGTGGGGTTTGATCACGAAGACACAGTTGGAGATTACTTGGAGCGAATCCTCCCCACGCTTGTGCACGTCATCGACGACCAATTTCAAGACTACGTTTGGACAATCACCGGACGCCATCCACTACCACCTCCACCGGCGGCTACCTCTCTGGTAACGAAGTCCTTCGTCTCCTTCTCAGTAGTGGTGCTCTCCATCCTTGTATGGTTCTTTCTCCTCCACTAAAAGCCAAAGAGTGAATGAGTGAGAAGGTGCTCGAGGTGAATTTTCTCATTATTAATCGTGAGATTTTGTTATGAGCATTTAAGTATTTCTTTTATCTTTGGATGTTTTGAATTGTTTGGTTATCTCAAAGCAACTCTTCGCCTAAGCAAGTTGATTACCTAGAATTTATTTAATCCTTTATTTTATTGGTGATAACTTTGTGGTGGTAACGCTTTATTTAATTTTCATCTTAATTTCCGCAAGCAACTCATACTTGATTCACATCAAAGATAGTTATAATACAATGGAAGAGGAAGGGTCTTACAGGAGGTGTTCTGGAATGACAAGGGCTCCAACCTAAACAAAGGCATAATCAAGGCCGATGCAGCACCAAGGGGTGGCCGAGCACTGACTTAGGAAACCATAGCCACAAGGTAATGTTTGGGACATCGATGCCATATGGCATCAATATCTAATAGTGTACACCTAGGAAGAGATGCCTTAAAGGAGACAATGACTTGAGGTGAAATCAAAGGAGACGCTTGCTCGAGGAGCTAGATGATGCTAGTCATTGGAGTTAATGAAAGCGTGAGGAACGCCCCGCATAAAAATAATTAATATAAAAAGGATAAATATTTATAAAAGCAATTAAAATTTAATTTAATGAGAAAAATTAAAATTTAAATAGAAAATTAAATAATTAAATAATTAACTACACTATATTTCATTAGATAATTGTAAATTCCTAGCCAATAAAATTGAACGATGGGAACCACAAATAGCTTGAGCCAACACTGGCATATGGCCACTGCACCCAACTTATCCTTAAGGATCGCAATTCGAACTAGTTAAAACAAATTCTTTTTTCAATTTTTTTTTTCAACAAACACATCTTGTGTATCTGATGGCAATAAACTTTAAGATTTGCATGAAAAAGATTATTTTTTGCATGCTTGGAATATGATAATTTACATTATGCTGTAATCTACATTAAAAAATAAAAATCCCCCAGCCATCACGCACCTCATCCCTCTTGCATGTTCCCGTACCCGAGCCGCTCTCAAATCGAACACTGTCCCCACTCCCATCCCCCATTCTCTCGCTTAGTTAGGCAACATCCCCAACCCTTAGCCCTTAGCTTTCTACGTATCGTCACTTTTCTCTACCTCTCCCTCTCTCTTCTAATTTTCTCTCTTCCCTACCTATTTATCTCTCTTTCTTTCTCATTCTCTTTTTATTTCTTTTTCTTTTTCTCTCTATTTCTCTCTTCCTCTTACTCTCTTTTTCTCTCTAGTTCTCCCTCTCTTTCTCTCTCTTCTTCTCTCTCTTTCTCTCATTCTCTCTCCCCTTTCTAATAAGAGAGAAAAAATCCAAAAAATAAAAAAAAAAAGAAAAAAAAAATTCAATGTGTTCGCATCGTCATCATTGTCATCATCTTGCATGCAAATCCATAAACTTGTAAACTCTCAAAACCTAAATGCGACACGTTTGACATGGCAAGTGGAACCCATGCTCGCTTTTCTTAGCATGGCGGGGGAATCTTGTTGGTGACATTTGCGATGCAACGGGTAAGCCCCATGCATGATTTTTTTAACATGGTGGTTGCATTTAATTATGAGTACTTGTGCACATCATTCTTGATGAATTCTTAATAATTTAGATGCATGGCACAAATTCATAGGTTTGATGGTTCATTTTGAACACTTAGATGTTAGTTTTCTAAATAACAAATATTTAATGGTTAGGCATAAATATCCCTTATAAAAAGTTGTTCAATATGCCATGAACAAAATAGTTTTCCTCTAATTGAGTATCAGAAAAAAACCGAAGTCGTTGACGTCATTTTTTTTCATGGATTTATCTGTATGGGATGGAATTCTTGTGCAACTTGACTAATATCTTATGCGATTACTTTCTATGTTTCATTCAGATTTATGTGCACAGCAAGTTGATGATAATTGATGATCGTATGGCTTTAATTGGATCAGCTAACATAAATGATAGGAGCTTGCTAGGATCTCGAGATTCTGAGGTATTTTATTGGTTTTCTTATGAAGAGTAGCATTATAGTTGCCATGACATTTTAACTTTTTGAACACATTCAAGGAATTTGTTCAGTAGGTGATAATATTTGATTTTTCTTTACAATAATGATTTGATATTTTTTTATTGTATCTAAATCTTGTATTTTGTTTTATTTTTGCTAAGTGTTAAAACTGGTTACTTCTTTTTTGTGTATTGCTACAGAGTCTGTGTTGATAATGAAATAGGTAATTTATGGATATATAATATATACCTATGGTGGGTATGATGTTCACTATTATCTTTTAATATTTTTAGAAGATGTGGTTATACCGAATCATCTTGGATCTATTATTATAAAAGAATGAAGATGTTGATGGGAATATAGCTTCTAATTTTAACGTTGGATGGTTAAAATGAAAAAATTTCTTGGGAGTTTTGTGTGATAAGAGGATATCATGAGTGCTTAAAGCCAATTTCATAAAATTTAAATTGAGCCTGTGATATTGTATATATTTATATGTTGAGCTATAAAATAGTTATTAATATTTTAATTTAGTGTAAAAATGTTACGATGGATGTGTGACAAACCTTAGGAAGAATAAATTAATGAATGATTATATTAGAGTAAATTGGAGTGATAGCTATTTAATATAAGGTGACTGAAAATAGACTTTCAGAATTTGGACATGTGCAATGAAGGGTAGAAATGAGTTTGTTAGACAAATGGTAAAATTATTGTCAAATGATTAGGAAGGATAATGCATAGATCTAATGTTACATGGATTAAAATTGTTGTAAATGAGTTACAATGAATATGCTTAACACGTCAGAGAACCCTCAACAAAGCAAATGAAAAACAAGAATTTATTACGCCAATGCTAGCTACAATAATGTTAATGATGATGAGCGGTAAGAATGTGGGGTTTGATGTGAATGATGATACATTATTCTTGTTAAAAGAATAACCAGAAAAACAATAAACCCTTCTTCTATTGTGCTATTAGTTAAGACAAATAACTTGGCTAATGCATAGAAAGAAATAACCAAACACTATATAACTAAAAGTTTTTAATGCGGAAATCAATGAAGAGAAAAATCATTGGACCCAGTCCAGATAGAATTGCTTCTATTATCAAGAAAACAAGGAATGTTTATTCCTGATGAGGACATCGTCAGAGATTTCAACACACGTACCATCAGGAGACGCCGGAGATCGACGGCCACAATCATGAGTTTTATTTTGAGTCATTTTATGTAGTAGTTTATTTGATTTTTATGTTTTTCCATTTTTGCCCTTATGGGTAGTTAGTTGCTATTGTAGCTCAAGGGGCATTTTTGTCTTTTGTTTTCTTTGTCATTTGGAGGCCTATATATATGGCAATTTTCCTATGTATGAGGAGTTTTTTGGATGAATGAAAATTTGCCACTTATGTTCTCTTTGTGAGTTCACCCTCCTCGATCTCTTAGTGAGTTCGTAGGGGAAACTAGATCTCTTTGTGAGTTCTAGGTTTCTTGTATTTCGTTTTCTTTTAGTTCTCTTTGATCTATTCGTTGTTGTGGAGAGTTGGATTGAAGCCACTAGTGGGAGATTGGAATTTCATGCTTTTGAATCCATTGAATTTTCCCTCTCTTCCTCCCCTTGCATTTGCCGTCGCCTAGCCTTGACCTGCTCAAGCCGCCGGCCACTTTGGCTGCCTCCTCCCGCCGGCTGGCCCCTCTCCAGGCTTTTGGCCACCGATCCAGAGCCCTCCCGTGTAGCCATCTTCCCCTCCCCCTCCACCGTTCCTCAACTCCACAGCAAACAGCCCAAGCCGTGAGCTCCAGCTCACCGAAATTTCCCCTGCAGTCCCTTGCCGCCGATTCCCTCTGTGTTGCCCAACCCGTGGAATTTCAACATTTAATGCTGGATTAATTGCTTAATCAATCATCCCTATTAAGCAAACAATTACTAGCATTTAATTATATTTGAAATTCAAATTCCAATTTTCCCTCTCATGTCAATTCAATTTGGGAAGTTACTTAAGTCCCAATTAAATTTGAAATTATAATTTCAGAATTTGATTTGGATTTAAGTACTCTACCATGGGCCCCACTTAATGAAAATTAATTTCTCTCTCCTCTAGCTTGGCCGGCCACCTCCTCTTCCTCTTTTCTCTCTCCAATCGTCACTTAATCACCTCTTAATTGCCCCTTTAATTCCCCTCCCTCTCTTTCTCTAATTTCGAATTTCAAAATCTGAAATTGAATTTAAAACTGCATTTTTTTTTTGGAATCAGGATTAAACTCCTTTGGTCGGCCACTTCTCTCCCCTCTCTCTCCATTTAATTGCACCACTAATTGCAATTAAGTCCCTCGTTCAAATTTTGGGTTTGAATCAATTCCTTTTGGAATAAAATCTGAAATTTAATTCAGATTTTAATCCTACCCCATCCGCCCTCTTCACCCTAGCCAACCACCTCCCCTCTTGAAATTTTGTGGACGGCCGATCCGGACATCAACCACGGCTTCGTCTTTGATGATCAAGGAAGAAAGGATAAGACGTTGTAGGCTCACTAGTCATCCCATGGACTACCCGCCACCGGCTACCACTCCAACGGACTACACTTTGTGCGCCATTTGTCTCCTAGTGGCATCGCTCGGTTGCTCTCAATCTTCCTCCATTAAAAGTGCCACCAACAAGAGAGTGAGTGAGAGACCCAAGGTGAAACGTTCTATTTGTTAATTGTGGATTATTGTTTCTCTCCTTAACATTACTATCTAATTCTATGTTGTCAATTTGATATTGTCCCATTAATCTAGTTGTAACCACATGCCTTACTTAATTTCGACTTGATAATTCCGAGAATTTAATTTGGGTAAGCATTAATTCTATAACTAGCAAAGCTTTAACAATCTTATATTAAAATCCCCTAGCAGTTCTTGTTTCCATGTATTACGTTTCACATCAATTCCTCTAAACAATCTAAAGACTATTTGCGGACTAAAAAAATAACCACTTATTTTAAAGAAAAAATTATAACTAGTAAATGAAATGAGTATAACATGAAGCAATTACAAAGAATTTTCAAATGAAATGAAAAAATAAAAAATAAAATTAAAGATAATGACATAAGGGAAAACATCCTTATGCTAAAAGGGAAAATCCTCAAAAACTCTTATATGTAGTGCTTTTTATTTAAAGCATGGTGAGATTTAGGGAATGTTTATAATTTTTTTTTCTATTCTTGCCCAGTATGACAAACATGATTTGAAAACTCATGTCCAATTGTACTATCATCTAAATCATAAAGTTGGTTGAAGTTTGGGTCATAGATATCCTCAATAATAGGATAAAGATGAGAGGCTACTAGTATAGTTTATCTAGAGGATCTGGATTAGGGGTGTAAATGAGCTGAGTCGGCTAGAGCTCGACTCATTTATGATCTCATGAGTCAAGCTTATCGAGACACGAGCTCGAGTTCGAGCACAAACTCGAGCCTGAATATTAAACGAGCTCAAGTTCGAGCTTGACAAAGCTTGACTGATCGTCTTGGGAGCCTGCTAGAATTAATTAATTATTTAAAATTAAGAGTAATATAAAACTTTATGTATTAAAAAATAGTTAACATTTATTATAGCATTAATGTATTATTACCTTTACAACAATTGTTCAAATTTCAATACTGGTTCACCCAAAAGTCTTTTTTTACACCGGTACAATTTTCAAAAAATCAATTCAATAGCTGTTTTGAATTTTCTTTTTTTTTTTTGGAAAAAGCTGCTGCTCTATAAAGCAGCTTTACTAAAGCTGCACAACTTTTTGTCTCTTTCATCTTTTTTTCTTTTTCTCCAAGGCATTGCAGGAGTACATTATGCTTTTCTCGTTTTTGAAAACAATCGATCTTCTTCTCCATAGCGGGCAGGCCCGACACTTCTCTAGCGATGATGAAGCAAGCTTCGGCCTCCATTTCATCACAAGTCGAGCTTGAGGGAAAATGGACGAGTTGAGCTCAAGCTCGTTCTTTGTACTCGAATTTGAGCTCAAGTTCGAGCTGCTCTTTTGAGGGATGAGTCGAGCTCGAGTTAGCCACTACTTGAGCTCGACTCGACTCGTTTACACCCCTAATCTGGATTGATGTTTTTTTGAATGGATATGAGGAGATGAATACATCCTTAGGGCTTAGGATAGTAGTGGAGGGCTATGATTCCTTTATAAGATCTTGATTTATTCCAAATTTTGTTTGCATACTTGATCTTAAGTAGGAGGAATTGTAACTAACATGCTTGAAAGTAGATCTTGATCATTTGTATGCTCTCCCAAGAACCTAAATGTATAAACCAATACTAGTTGATTTCCTCAGTTGAAGGTGAGCCTTGAAAGATTTATATTGTAAAGAAATTCCAAACATGCGTGATAGGTGGTTTCATGGATGAGTTCAAGTGAGAAGACCACTTTATTATACACATTAGATAACCACTCACACAGTAGGATCAACATGAGAAAATTCAAGGATAATATGCTTTTAAGGATAATCTGATGATAGTATGAGAGGTAGCCACATATGCTCTGAACATGAGAGAAAGAACCACATGACAAATAAGGGTCCTTAGAATAGGTGGTGGTGAAGGATCAGGTCCAAATAGGGGAATTATCATGACCTTGCCCGAGAGCTTGGAATATTAGGGCAAGAACATATGTTTAGATGGAGCTTTAGAACACTTTTATTTACATAATTTTTTTTCAAAATAATTCCTTCAATTTTAACTTTCAATGCATTAAAAAGAGTTGCTAATCCTTAATTTTTTTTGTTATGAAACACCTACACACCATAATTATCACAACATTCAGGAAGCATAAATACCTATTCCTTTCAGCTCCATATCGGTTGTATACAAAATCCTTTCTCTTACTCATTTAGATCACAAAATTCTTTCTTGTATGTGTTGACTGTAACGGCAAACCCAACCGACTGAAGCCACCGACATAGCCGATCGGACACGTCGTTTCAAGCACCGCCTCTCTCACGACATAAAAACGCTTCTCTCATTCGGTTACGCACTCATACGCACTGAGAAGAAGGAGAAATAGGGTTTCAAAACTTACCTCTCCTCCACGCGACGCTAGGCCGACGCCGACAGATCGCCGACCCGATCCCTCCGTCGACCCTGCCTGAGACGACGCCACCGCCTGCCGACGCCGAACCCGCCTCCGCCGCCTCCGTCGCCGACCGTCGACCAGCAGGGGATATATCACACTTCAAAATCATAATAACTCAAATGAAAAAGAAACATGTATGCTACTCATCTTTTTAAACTGTAAGGAAATCACAAACATTGCGTAGCAGTTAAAGTGATTTATAATTATAGAATCATAACATTCATCTTGCCTTTAAGAGCATGAACATAATTGAACTTATCATATAACTGTATTATATACTTAATACATTTGTTTTAGAAGCACCATCTTTACATTAACTTAACTCCCCATTGGATGATATGTTCCTTGTCGGCACAATCAGGCGTAGATTATGCCCACTATTATATGGGATTGGAAGTCACCAACTAACCGCTAGTTGATACATCTTCTATTAGTATAGCAAGATCTATGTTATATTTCTACTTGTTTAAGGTGGAAGGTAAAAATCATCAACATGGGGAACATTAGCATCCCTAGTTAGTATCATTATGTGGTAACTCTATCATTCAACATACACATACAAGCATACTTATATATCTCATTTCTTTTTCAATTTTCTGTTGTAGACAATATATTTTTTGTATGGAATATTGCAATGTATAGTTTAAAAACTTGAGATATAATATGAAAACATGCTTCACTCATAGCAATATGAACGATCATTCTCATGGAAAAGATTAATCATGTATGTTGATCTCACTTTTGTTTTTATAACAAAAATCATCTCATGTATATAATGAACATAAATTATAACTAATTCAATAAATAAAGTCGGTCTTGAAGAAAGAAAATGTTGCGCAAATTTAGAAATGAGATCACCAATATCAACTTCAAAAGCTCTTAGTCACTTAATCCTTAGTTGCCACCTCGTTTAACTTGATACCAGTAATAAATATATATATATATATACACACACAAATGATTTTTTTATTAATTTCTATAAATTTGTTTTAATTTTTTCCCCAATTTCATCTATAAAAATCTTTCTTGTCAAACTCAACTATAATTTGTTTTAGAACTATAATTATACTTAATAAATCCAATTTATTTTTTTACATAACAATGTGTCTGAATTACAAATATATCATCATATCTAAATATTCTTTTTAATCTCATTCAAAATTCTTGAATGACAATCTTATTATTTCTAAAATTAATTTCATAACATAAAGACAAACTTTGAATCAAAATAAATTCTAATTTTTTCTCTATCACAACTTTATTAAATTTCAGTTTTTTTTATTAATTAAATTTTAAAATCTAGAAGGCAATATAGACCATTTAATAAAATTTTAACTTCCAGATTTCATCAATAAAATTCCTTTTCTTATGATTGGTATTCATACCTCAAATATCTTTTTATTTTCATTTGAAAAAAATTATCGACTTCCTCCTCTTGACTTGCTCTTCTGCTCTATGCCAAATCCTAAAAAAATTTATAGATATTTTTCCTTTCATGATTATGAGCGTTATAGGTGGACATGTACTACTCTTGGGCATAGTTCTTGGTAAGAGGTGCTTTGCCAAACAGGATCCAAGGTTTACTCTGGTTTTTCTGATTGCATAATCTAGCTAATGCACATTAGTCGGCTGATTTATCTGTTTATCTTTGTTGTCCTTTCGTGATTCAAATCACTGCCGTTTATTTTCTACCCTCACATTGAGTTTTTTTTTTCTTTTTTCTTTTTTTTTAATTATTGTTTTATTATCTTTTTATTTTTACCCTCACATTGAGTATGTTAACTGTGCAGATTGGTGTGGTTATTGAAGACAAAGAATTTGTTAATTCTTCCATGAGTGGGAAGTCATGGAATGCAGGAAAGTTTACTCTTAGTCTTCGCCTCTCCCTATGGTCTGAACATCTCGGACTTCGTTGTCATGAGGTCTTGTCTGCACCCTAGCTTTTATTCCATCCTTCTTATTTACCTAACTTCTTGAAAAAAATGGTTCCTAGCTGAAACAGGGATTTACAGATAGTTGCTAGTTTGTCATGTGTTGTCTTAGTTTTTTATTACTATCTGTGGTTAATAATTCAATATATCTTTAAGCTGTTGTTTTGTCTTTACGCAACTTGCAGAAGTTATTTTAACCTGTCAAGATATAATTTAAGGCACCCTTCTTTTGATTTATATTTGTGGAAATAAAATTTTATCACATGCATTATGCGTCTATGCTATGTAGTATTTTATTTCTCTCGCAGTACATTCTTTCAAAGGTTATAATGTTTTGGAAAACTCCTTTTCTTGATTCATTATTTGGGGAAAAAAAAAACTCGCTAGGAATGTTTTTCTTAAAGGCAATTTTCTAGAGCACGTTTTTTCTTTTATTTTATTTTGGAAGCTTGCTCGAATTCAAATCAGTTAGATTGGTCTCATGCTTAAGATTAAAAATAGTGGTTTGCAGAGGCATCTTTATTTATGTTAAGTTCGATCTTGATAGTGACTGGATTGTTCTTTTAAAACTTTCTCTGGTCCTCTAATGTTGAGCAGAACATAATCATTAAATCCATCCATCGTTTTCATGTGTTACTCATGTTCTTGTCCCACTGACATGCTTATGTTGTGTTTCTGTTACGCCTGGACCGGTCCCAGCTGGACCGGTCCGGTTCTACACCTGACGGCCCAAGGTCGGGCGGAACCAGGCGGAACGCGCGCAGGAGCGGGGCCCAAACAGCGGCTAAAACGCACGGGGGGAGGGAAATTTTTGAATGAGAGGCTGTTTTAGGAAGTCCATTACTGTCCTTTATGATTAATTTGTATAATTAGGAGTTTTGGGGGGATTGGCGGGGTATCTTGAATTTGAATTGTTTTGAGATCTAGGTTTTGGTGTCTTGGGCTCTTGGCTTCGCCGGAGATCTTTTGGAGAGTTTTTCCTTCCTCTCGAATTGAAGGAAAGCTGTATCTTGCAAGTGCTTTTCGTCCGTCATCGAAATAAAAGTGTTTGCAGTGTTTTTCCTACGTTTTCTCTCAGGTTTTTGTGCAGTTGGCTGTTTTACTGCTGTGGACAGCAGTTTTTCCTTTGGATCCTCTTGGTTTTGGTGTGAAACACTTGGAAATCCAAGTGTTTATGTTTACTTTGTATCACATTTATTTTATGTTATGTTGGTTTCATGTTTATGTCATACTAGTCCTTTATTAGTATTTAGTCAGTCGTATGCTGGTCGTTATATGATAACCATTACTCCATATAAAGGTTCCTCACTTTGTGTTGCACACATTATGATATTATGAATGAATATTGGATTCAAGGTTGTTATTTCTATCCCACTCCTCTTTGGTCTCCTTGCTCTCTCACTCTAGTTCCTCTCTCGCACTTGAGTGATACTTTCTCTTTACCTCTTTTGGTCTCTATCTCCTAGACCACCTGCTTTTCTCTCTACTAAGTCAGCATTAAGAATAAAATGCTTTTTTACCTTCATCAATTGGTATTTAAGCCAAAGAGATCCATTTTAATCCTGCCACATAAACCCTGAAAATCCCTTCATGCATTTTCTTTCTCATATTTCAGTTTTTTCTTCCTTAATTTTCTTGCAATTTTCCTTGGTCTTAGTTATCCTTGATTTCATGCAAAACCCAAAAAATTCTAATCCCTTCTCAACCTTTCTCGATTGATCACCTCTTGCATTGTTTCAATATATTTTTTATTGCATGCACGACACCATCACCATGAAAGCAGGTTCAAAAGATTTCTAAACCCTGAAGAAACTCCTCAACATCTTAATTTCTTCGTGCATCCATCAATTTTGAAACTTCCCTCTTCATTTTCTAAAAATACCATTTTGTTCAAAATCCTTCCTAATTCAAATTCTAATATTTTTTTATAATCCAATAGGTACATAATATGTTCTTTCCTTAATCCATGATATACTATCATAATTTAACCCAAATCGTAACCACCCTTGCCCTCACTCACTAAAGATGGCTCATCAATTTATCTTAGACAATCTAAAATTTATTAGCATAGAGATTGGATTGTCAATTCATATTATTCACATATCTTTCATGATATCTATGATGACTATTCTCTAGTTGAAGATATGTATGAGTGGTATGCATTATTTTTTGGAAGTTATCCTTCTTTAAGGGTTATATTGTGATTATGTGCCCGTCATCATTCATATTGTCACACCCGGAGTCCGAAAGACGGTACACTACAACAACACAAGACTTGATGAAGGAATAAAATGACTTGTTTTGTACTCACAAGAAGAAAAAATTGCATAAATCAATAATAAAATTAAATATATCTGAGTAAATAATGATAGAAAAAATTAACTTTCATTGCATTTGTTATAAATTCAAAAATAGTACATCAATACGAAAGGGGCTACTACGAGCAAATGAAATATCAAACCAAATAATGGGAAATAAACTACCCAACCCATGAAATTAAATATATGGTAATCTACTATAAAATATAACAGTACTAAATATAATCTACTGCTGATAGATATGCTTCTGAGGTGACAATCCACCTAACACTCTGATAGGACCTGCTATAAAAAAATAACAAGTGAATTTGATGGATCAAACTCTGCATGTAACTTCTATGATTCTATCTATAAAAGTATAAATAATAATGTAGTATGAACAACCAAAAGATGGGAGTAGCTACTCATAGTGAGCTGAGCCGACTTGCGAGCCTACATGAGCTCGACTCCTTAATGAGCTTACGAGTAAGTTTATCGAGCTGCAAGTTTGAGCATGAGCCTACTATACTCGAGCTCGTATATTAAAAGAGCTTGAGCTTGAGCTCAACCCGACTCGACTCAAAAGTTCGTTGAGCTGTTCGATTAACTTAAAATATATTTAAAAATTAATTTTAATTAATATAATATAATAGATTTAAATATTTATAAATTAATTCTATATTAAAAATAAAAATTCTTATAAAAAAATGAAAATTAAAATTAAGAAATCAAGCTTAACAATCGAGTCAAGCTTTCCAAACGAGCTTGAGCAATCGAGTCGAGCTTCAGCCTATAAATGTTTTAACAAGACCAAGCTCGAGCTCGAGCTCAGTAAGAACCAAACAACCTTAGCTCGATTAGGCAGATACTCGACTCAACTTAGACTCGTTTACACCCCTATTCACTATATCAAACTAGTAATGACATATGTTATATTTCCTATGACATTTTTAATATGCTGATGTAACCAATGTTACATCAAAGTGCTACACATATAGTATCATTATAATGAACCACGTTAGGTATCATCATACCTCCATATCATACCTCCATATGACTTATTAGTTATTTATACTTTTAGCTCAAGTCCATATATATATATATATATAAGTTTATTAAGTACCCTTCATTGAGAAGGTAAACATCAATTCAAGAAAATCCAATGATTTTTTTATAGAGTTGTTATGTGGGCCCATGTAACATATCCATATGTAGGCCCAAAATGTTGCCCTAAGTGGGAATCCAGTAGCCCCCATCGAGGGGCGAAACCCGCCTTTCTTTTGAGGGTGGGCAAAATAGAGTTGTGAAATGCATAATCTTATGTATAATAGAAAAAAGATTTTTTTTTCTTAGAGTTTGGGCAATTGCATTTATTGAAGGTGGGAAAAATAGTTAAAATGTTTATTCTTCTACGTTAAAAAAATATTTTAGGGTGTGCATTTGCCAACCATGATATCTTCCTGGTTCCATCCCTGCCCCCATTCGATGAATTAAAATGCTAGTGATGATGGCTCAGTGACCTGCATTGCTTGATATGCTCAACAATATTAGTGGTTAGTCTAAGATGTCGCATAGCCCATAACTCACCTAATTGATCATACTCTCTAATAGGTTAAATGCCTCACACTTTAGCTTGATAGTGGTCACACAATGTAAAAGTTCCAAATAAATAGAGGCGTAAAGCTGATATGATGTTAAGCAAGAACAAGTGAGGGAAAAAGCCGTCATAAATGTTGCAACCTCGCAATATCTCCTTGTGTTGCTCAAGTCTGTTGTCAACCTCATTAATCCCTTAGAGGTTCATGTATGTCTATCATAGCCCAAATAGTCTCCTCAATAGGCTCGTCGCGTGGCATATCAACAAGAATCTTCCAACTAAATGTTTCCCTCCAAAAGAAAGGGGGGATATGTTGAAAACAAGATGAAAAAAGGGCATGATTTTAAAGTGCAAAAAATAAACCCAATGCATGAATCTAATAATCTATACATTGCAAGGTGACATAATGGTAACTCTTGTATGTTGAAAATTAAAGTTAGAAGCCAGCTAACTCTCCACCAAAACTAAGGTATGATGCATACTGGAGATCAATCTACGATAATGAATGCCTATGTGCTGAAGTTCAATTGCATGCTTCACATCAATATGCATATATGTTCTTGAAGGTCTATATAGTCAATCCCTGATGTGACACACAAACATATTTTTAGAGATTCACAGGGTCAATAAATTTGCAACAAATATGTTCAACTCCAACCACTCACTATATTTATTAGGCGGCATCTATTGACCTCAATATCAACTTCACAATTGAACCAATCAATCGTGATGAAAGTGGTGAACGATGAATAAGACGTCGTTTAAAATTGCCCAAGTATTGCTCATTTCACAAAATGAATCACGTCATTACATTTAGAAGTTGTTATTACTAAGCAAGGACTCTCGTGGTTGATTTGAGCAAAACAAAGTGACGAATTATGAGCGTGACATTGAATACCCATATTTTTGCCCAGGTTCCTATTCAAGAAAGACCGCAAAACATTCACCTATGCATGCCAAATGAATAGATACACAATTTAAATAAATAAATAATATATATTGTTGGAGAATTTTTTGTATCCTCAAACGGATTGCATATTTTATAATCGGGCACGGCATAAGAACATGATATATTACCCCGGAGGGTAAAAATACCA